AAGCTCCTGCTACACTTAAAGCGTTTCATAAAACAATAGTAAAAACGAAAACCTCAATAAAACATTCATAAGTTCAATCAGACGGTCATAACCTAACCTCACTCTTGAGTTTCTTATTTACTCTTAGGGAAGGGTAAAACAGTGACTTTTTAATAACAGGTACAGTCTGCTTCAGTTCCATAAAATACCTGTTCCAGTTCCAAGTTGTTCCAACAATTTAAACCGTTGTTTGTTCTTTCGCGTCTGTTGCGACTTGCGAGCGCGGAGTTCCACATACAGAAACACCGAAACCACGATACCGAAACTAAAACAAGATAGTTTTACGTCGCCGGAACACTTTGATTTTTTAAGGTTTCAACTATCTCAAGGATACCTGTCACAGTGTAGCAGTAGCAAAATCGCAAATTTCAGCTTATTAGTTATTATTAATTATTATTACACCTATTATGAATGTTTTTTATGTTGAAAAAAAATCTAAACTAAAAACATTGAATAAACAAATAAGTATGTTTCATACAATCTTATTTTATTTTTGTTTAATTTAAGAAAAATAACACAGATCACAGATTCTATATAATATTCATTATTTAATAATAAATATTAAGCTGTTTCAATATTACTGCTGGCTAGTCTGTAACTGCAACAGGCAACTGTCACAGTAACAGTAATTAATAATAATAATAAAGCCAATGCCTACTTAATAAAGTTGTTCCAGTCTCGCGCAATTTGCGCTCTGCGACTGTGACAGAAAGTAGCAATTTAAAATAAACAATCTACGTCCACCGAAACAACTGTTCCGTCGAACTGTTTCATGATTCGATGCATACTTGTTCCAGTCCCACGCAATTTGCGCTCTGCGACTGTGACAGCAAGTAGCAATTTAAAATAAACTGAATCTTCGTCCACCGAAACAACTGTTTCGTGGAACAGTTTCGTGATTCGACGTGTACCTGTTCCAACTGAAAACCTGTTTCAAAAATAACAGATACTGCTTCAGCGACACAACCCTATTTACTCTACGAACAAGTCATTAAAAATTAGTAATAATGTATTAACCATTTTTCTCTTTCACTGATCATTTCCAGAATATTAGGAGCCTAGGAATGTTTTGATATTTGTTAAACAATGGAACACAATGAACTTATTAAACACTTTTCTTTATTTTGAACAATTTATCTTTCAACGTCAACATAATGTGATTGGGTTGAAAAGCTAGGTTATGCTCTAAAACAAACTTTAATTCTTAGGATAAACTAGTTTTCTTAAACAGATTTAAGGGAATCTATAAAAGCAAGTAATAAGATCAATTTATCCTGCAGTCCTATAACTAATAAAATAATTGTTAATTTTTATGCTTTTACAAAATCCTAATAAAACATATTTTTTTTTTCTCTTAAGAATGTTACTTGGGTAGAATGTTATGACTGTCGACTTAATCTTGGCATCCTGAATATATTTTATCAATAATGAATGGCTATATCTCTGGTCTGCCTATTATAAAACAATACGAGTGCTTGTAATAAATAAGGGCCCAATTATAAATGAATGGATTAGTCTAGTAGTTTTTTGCTGTTGTCAGCCAATTATGTAAACTACTTTGTAGTTTATTGGATGCTGTTACAGATTTCCACCTATTGAGAGAAGAGCGGTATTATCTGCGAATGTAGCGATGGCAGTGTTATCTGTAGTTAGTATGTCAACTTTACTGAGACATGTGTCATACCCATCAGATTTTTTTCAAATATTTTTGAAATGAAATGGCTTTTTCACTTGTATCTATAGCCTGATAGTCGTTTAAAATATACAACGATTTCTAAATAAGAAGAAATAAGGAAACAGGTTTTTATTTAGGTCAAAAAAATTAAATAAAAAACAACTGCCCTTTTACAGTTTTTATTTTGTGCTGAAAAGTATTATGAATTCACAAAAAGAATAAATAAAATTAGCAAACTAAAGGACAAACACAATAATAAAATTTCAACATTAAAACAAAATCTTAAGTATAAAAAAATAGGTGTAACTAAAAAATTTTCATTCTCAAACTATGGTTAAAAAAGTACTAAATAATGGGAAATAGTTAAAAAGGTGGTAAACATTAAAATGTATAAAACGATTAAGTATCTCCAATAAATTTTGCAACGCAGTTTTAAAAAGGCCAGTAATAATTTAGCACCCAAATATAAAAGGACCAAGCACAAATCCTACGAAAAACGGTTTTCAGCCAATACATTGAAATATTTTTGATTTCAACATTATTTCATAACTCCGATCGGCAAACTATTTATTCGATAACAGCAAAATAAAATTAATTCGGGCGAAAGCCATTTCTAGTTAGAATAATGTGTGGTTCTTTCGTAATAAATTTTAAAATACTTTTATTATATATACAGAAGAGTGCATAGCAATCACATCAGCACACCTAAGCATTAAAAAGCTCAACTTAGGATATATAGTAGATATTTTATTGACATTTTATATGGTCAACTTGGTTTATTATTCTTGTATAATATATTAAACTTAAAAATATGTCTCGTACAATTAAGTCCGTCATATATCCACACCACTTAAATATCCGTTACTAAATATTACCACAGCTCTATACACACATAGTTAAAGGTAGAACATTAATAATGAAACATTTCCCAAAGTTATATTAATATAAAAAAAGTATAAATATGGGTACGTTAAAAATTCAATAAGTTTCGGAAATGTCTCACCAATTCAATTCCAAAAGGATAAAAAAAATCATAAGGGGGCATAAAAGATATATAAAAATTTTTAAATATAACAGTTAATTCGTAGTATTAAATATAAGCTAAGTAATCAATAAATCGTTTTATGTTAATTATTATTCGTTCAGTCTACAAGTTGCTGAGTTTCAATTATTTTGTTGTCTATTGGAGAATTATCCTTTATTAAGTCGGGCTCCTGTTGCTGAGTATCAATGATACCTAGATCCTGACTATCGACATTAATCAATTCAGGTTGTTGATTGTCGACAACATTATTGATATTAATTAATTCTGATTTTTGATTTACAATTGTGTTGTTCACGACTGTTATTTCTTCAGTGACTACTGTCGAAATGCCGTTTTGTTTTGGTTTTTCTATTTTGGTGGTCTTCGTTTTAATAGCTGTGGTCTTTAAGACTTCTGTTGGTTTCTTTTTGGTTATTGCGGATTTCGTAGTGGATGTGGTCGATTTCGATACCATCGTTCGGGCTGAGTTTACCTGTTAAAAAATATACTGTATCAATATTTCAAAAAACTCATCTTTACACATTTAGACTTTTTTTAAACAAGATACCATTAGTCTTTGAAATGTTTCTAATGGAAACAATTGTTATAAGAGAATAATTATTGTTACAGATTTGATGTTCTTATTCTTACTCGGAGTAATTTTTATGTAATCTACCTGACACAAAGCATATTTTTGGCTGTTATACAGGGTATTTTTAGTATTTTGTAGCAGGACACTCCATAGAATTTAAAACAAACACTTAGTTTTCGAAATTTCAAATTAAATTTTAAATATCAAACATTTTACAACTTATATCATTAAAAGTTGGTACATGGGTTTTTTGGTATGAAAAAAATTTATTGTAGCCGCTAGGAGGCCCCTCTGCATTATTCTTTACAGATTCAAATAGACATACATTTTCCTAGTATACAAAATCAGCCATTAAAATTGGCGTAGTAAAGAGGCACTTTAATAATTTTCCCGACATTTTTAAAATATGTCCCAACCGACCTATAATACAAAATTGTATTTTTTGTTTTTTATCACAAAATCGTTCCCGTTTTTTTTTTTTCTAAAGAAAAAGGTACCCATATTGGTTTTTTTTATTTAATCTTATTTTGAATCAACAAGATATCGAAATTATGAAATTTAATTTAGCCCATTGAAAATAAATAATTTTGTAACCACTGTGCATTTTTAAAAAGGGCGATCCAGTTAATAAAGTTAGATTGTTACAATAATTTAGTAGATGCTAAATTTCAAAAGATTTAAATAAATTATGAAAAGTTAGGTTGTATCTCGAAAATGGCTAATCTTATCAGATTTTGGAAAAGGTACCATTTTATTTAGAGAAGTACTGGACATAAAAAAATATTAAAGACAAAGTACTCTGAAAAAAAATCCGTAAATAATGCAATCCAAAGCGCTCCCTAGTCAGCTGCAGTATAATGGTGTCCATAAAAGGTTTTGTCATGCCAAAAAAACCTTGCGTACCAACTTTTAATGCAATACTTCAAAAATATTTACAATATTAAAACAAAATCTATTTTAACATTTTATTTGAATACCATCTATCTTTAAAATTATGTGATTGTCGACCAATTATTTTTCTATTAAAATCTTTGACAACTTCTTAATTCATTATTCGAGAAAAATCCATCCTTTAAATTTATTTTTATCTTTATGATCATAAACAAGGAAATTACAGAGTGTTGAACATGTGAGCTGTTATAATAATCAAACATTTTGTAACTCTGCTGTTTTCCTTTGGGTATAATTCAACGCCTGTGGAGAGGGCTTTTGAGATTTTATTTTTTTTAAGTTTTAAGTCAAGTGTATACTGTCAGCTGATGAATACCCAAATGCACATGTCAGTCCAACCGATTCCAGGGGTTGGATTCCGTTCTGTGTCGAGTTTTAGGGATTGAAGACAAAACGAAAGAAATATGGTTGTTATTATGAACAAAAAACTATAATATAGAAGAAATATCATTGGGTTGAATTAGATATAAAAACAGTATGGAAATAAAATTGAATAGAGATTAATGTTTCCTTGAAATCGCTATCTACCTTATCTACTAATATTCTCGTAAAAGTATTTCCAGGAAATATGTTAATTCGTAACTTCTGGTGGACTTTGCTAGCTTATAGAAATTTCATGATTAATAGTCTACTATTTCATGCTTCTGTTAAAAATCTTAAACATCTGGAAAAAATAAGAATGTCAAATGTTGTGTAATGTTAATTAACCAAAATAAACACTTTCATATCCCCCCAATTAATTTTATTATTATAATAAAAATTCTGCATCTAAAACAGGTATAAAATAGAAAAGAAATCAATTTCCTTTTCAAAGTATAATTGGAAAACATTAGTTTATAGTTTTCCTTATGGATAATAGATATTATAAGATAATACAATGGTTTATGTATCGTTCGGAATTAGACAATTTATTAAACTTACAAACGTACCTAATCAAAGTTTGGAAAAGATCGATATTACTTTTCTTTGCTCAAGAAATCGCGAAAATCGCATAAAATGATAAATGATAGATAAAAGTCGATAATGTATGGTAAATACTATAAAAAGAAGGTATGATACTGTGCATTGTGTACCACGTGACGTGGCGTACTGTGGTGGGGAGGCTTTAATGGCCGACGAATAATGCACAGTTTGACTGTTTGTATGGAGATCTTTGCAAATGTATAAATTTTAGCACAAAAACTGTCTCATGGGTGCTTCTATATTTTAAGTTTTTAACTGTTGATAGTTTTATTTGAGGATTATGTAAAGATCTTACATTAATTTAGCCAGCCCTTCATCCAATGTGTTTTGTGTATAAGATAAAAATACAATTTTTAATATGTATGTGGATTTGTGATTAATATGTATTTTCAACAAAAACCAAACATGCCATTAACTTTCATACAATACAATATCTTTATTTACCTGAGAAAATATTACATTTTATGGCTCATCAAATTACAATTAAAACTAAATATATATAATATAATAAAATTTACCTAAATATAATAATATAAAATTGAAATTTACAAACATTTACAACATAGTTCACTGAATCATTCAGAGGCCACAGTGACAGCCTCCATCCTCCATCTGTATTGATTTAAATTCCTCTAAGCTATATAGGCAATTATTGGATAAAATTTGTTTTAATGCATGTTTAAATTTATCTATAAGCTGATTTCTAAAATTAAGTGGTAGCTCAATATAATATTTCTTTGTCCTTTCCAGTCTATACTGGATAGGGACAAAGTTATCTTTGTGCCTTGTATTATAGTTATGGATATCTGAGTGGGAAAAAAATGTGTTAATATTATTTCTTACGAATAGAAGGTTTTGATAGATTATTACTGCATAGAGTTTCATAATATTAAGTTCTGAATACTGGTCTACAACTGGCTTGCCAAGAAGCACGTGTTATGGCTCTTGTGGCTGATTTTTGCAAAATAAAAACTCTTGAGATATGTGTGTCAGCAGCATTGCCCCAACATATTGTCCCGTATGTCAAATGACTATGAAATAGAGCATAGTAAGCAGTAATTGCTGCATCTTGACCACATATTTGGCGTATTTTCCTGATATCAAAAATTGCTCGTGATAATTTGGAACAAAGTGCTTTAATATGATCTGTCCATCTGAGATGTCGATCAATTTGAATCCCAAGTGTTTTAACAGAATTGTTATTAACTTGTTCACTATTTACTGTAAATAATTGGGAGATAGTTTTTGTGTCATTTAAAAACAGGTCGTTTACAAAAAACACCTCTTTGCCTGAATCATGACATCAGAGTAAACTTGATCATGATCTGTTCCTCTTTTAGTATTAATACAAAAAGAAGTATCATCAGCAAATATACATGTGATAAGGTTTTCAAAATTCATATGGTCAGGAAGATCATTAATGTATATCAAAAAGAGTAATGGACCTAAAATTGAGCCCTGAGGGGACACCTCTCTTGATATGCATCAATGAACTTTTGCAATTTTCGATGATGACTGACATCTGTCAGTTAAATAAGATTCAAAAAGCTGTAAACAAATCCCTCGTACTCCATACCTCTCTGGTTTAGATAATAGAATTGAATGATCCACACAGTCAAAAGCAGAGCTTAGATCTGTAAATACACCTAAACAATTTTCTATATATTGTACTAGAGATAATACTGCATCTATTGTAGATCGCCCCCTTCTAAGACCATACTGGAATGGCGTGAGTATGTTGGAAGAATTTAAATATGATATTAGATTATTAAACATAATGTTTTCCAAGATTTTGGAGAATATGGGAAGTACAGCAATTTGTATGAAGTTGAAAGGCTGAGAAGGGTCTCCATTTTTAAATAGAGGACAGACCTTAGCAATTTTCATGTTATCAGGAAATATTCTTTCAGTTAGACAAGCATTTATAATTATAGTTAAAGGTTTAGACAAAAAAGAAATACATTATAGATACATTAAATCCATCAATATCCTGTTCTTTTATTTTTTAAATCTTTTACAATTAATTCTATATTGGTTTGGGTAACTGGCTGAAAAAACATTGAATTTTTTAATTGTGGTATAGTTATAAGGGAAGTAGCTGGTATATCTGGTTTCTCTACATTCTGAATTGTTTTCCGTACTATTAATAAAAAAATTATTAAGATCTTCAAGAGTTAAATTTTCTGGCTTTGTATTTGTTTTATTTCGATCAATTTCTTTGTTAGTTGTATATTGTGGGAGCAGAGTTGACAGGGATCAAGTCTTTTTATTTTTCTGACATGCAAATGATTTATTAGCTAAAAGAAGACAACAATGTATGAATGCATTATATCCAATTAATGAAAGTGAGTTGCTGTCAACTCATATCGTTGGAGCAGAACTGACAGGGATCAAGTCTCTTTTATTTTTCCAACTTGCAAACGATTTATCAGCTAAAAAAAGACAATGATCTCTAATGGTTATATGAAATTAATGGAAAATGAGTTGCTGTCAACTTATATCCTTTAACTAATAAGTGAAGTGAAAAATAATGTGTTGCCTTATTTATCAATAATTGTGTTTTAGGTAAGCCAGTTTATCTACGGTTGGAATATGGAAACAGTACAAGCAAGAAAATTGCTTTTTTTTAATTTTGAGGGTTACTCCATTTTGACCTATAAAGTATCGGAATTATGCTTTGTTTCCATATGGACCATTTAAATTTTCCACACCACACTACGTCATTGCGCGAATTCGACGAGATTACGACAGCTAAGTTTCATACATCTGTATTAAGATATCTCTCTGGTTTCATCCAGCACAAAAAATATTATGTGTACACAGACTGTGTTCTACAGTTTTACAACGCATTATATTAAAAGATCAAAATAAAAAATGGTTAACCATCCAAGGACTAAGATCATTAACCCAAAAATCGCACAAAAATTATTTTTAAGTCCAGTTATGGAATTTCTATAAATTACATAGTATAATATACCTTAGTCTCTGCTTTGTGGATGGTAGAAGTGACATTCTTCACTGAACTAGCAGTTCTGGCAGAAGTTGCTCCTGTTTTTTGAGTTACACTTCTAGAGGCCGTAATTTTGTTAGCACTGTCTTTGATTTGTTTTTCAGTATCTGGCTGAACCTTGCTGATAGGCTTTGATGATAACGGTACTCTTGGTTTGGTTGGTGCAGTTGTGCTAGGTTTTAGTTTCAGAGGAACTGCAGGCGCCGGTTTTGGTGCTGCTCTCGCTGTAGCCAACGGCTGCAATCATAAAACAATGTTTGATAAAACAATGACTCAAAATCAATGCCACATAAATAAATTTTATTAACGAAGTTATATGACAATCGGTTTCGGCCTTAAGCCATCATATCACATCTACAAGTGAGAGAAGAAAAACGCGATAAAGAAGAATACATAATATTTTTACATACCTAAATAATAAGTAGGGCAAGGAGATTGCAAGAAATACTATGTGAGATGATGAAATTTAAAAATAAATTGAACAATGATAAAAACTGATAAAATAGTTACATAAATTAAAAAATGTTTTGTACAAATACCAACACTTCTTAGACAACAAGAAGTGTTGCTCCACGATTCTAGTAACCTTTAGCGCCTGTTTTATAGGGTTGAACAGTATGGTCAAAAAGAACATCTATAGGGGTAGTCAGGCACCTTAGAACACATGTTGAGAAATCAAACAAGTGTTTGAAAGTAATACTGATATTGACTATATAAGGTCCAATCAGTTGGCTTACTAGAATATTTCAAATTGAAAGGTGAAAATCCAGGAGTCAGATGAATAAAGGCTAAATAAAGAGAAGGCCACCCCAAAGAAAGCAAATCAAAGTTAAACCCTTGATAGAGGCAGGATTAATTTTGTTTTGTGTCTAATCAGTTATCATTACCACACAAACGAACGAAATAGCGAAAATGTTAGTGATATTATTACTGGATGGAGACCAGTGTCAGAAAACTTTTACTTTATAGAAAATTATATTATCAAACGTCTGCAGAAGCGTCAAAAATCATATATAATAAAAAAAATATTGACCTTAGTTGCACCAAGAGACGTTGGCTTTTCTGTAGTAGTTCCTGTGGGCAATTTGGTAGTTGCGGGAGCTCGTCTCGTCGTTGATGAAATAGGCCTTGCACTTGTAGGAGGTGTAATACGAGGTGGTACTGGCGCTTTTGTAACCGTAATTTGCTGCGGTTTTGCACCAAATTTGCTTACATTTGACTGAAAAAGTTCATAAGAAAATATTATTACTAATTTTTATGTATCATACTTTTTAATAACATATATGCAACAGATTTTCAGAGCGAGCAAATACAATCTGAGAAAGATACCAATACAAGTGAATTTAATTAATTCTGATAGTTACATTTTATATGACATCGAGTGTTGTTGATTGAATTTGATTTGCTTAGATTATTTTTATTAATAAAATGACAAATTTTGTAATAAAAAAAATGTAAAAATTACATAATTTCGGTCAATTATTGAACTTTATGATACAGTAAAGAAAATGTTTCATTTTAAAATTGTATAAATGTGAATCTGCATAAAAACAATTATTGAAAGTACATACTCTAGATGGTGGTGCTGAAGTTGAAGTTGTAGATTTTGAATTCATTTTGGACATGGGATCTACAGCAGGTTTTCTTGTAATCGGAGGCCTTGCGCTTGTTTTCGTCTCGCCATTGGTAATTTTTTCGGTGGATTTTATTGGTTGTGGTTTAGTTGGTGTTTTCGATAAAGAAGTCTTGGGTGTTGATTTTAGTGCGACACTAGGAGTTGAATGTTTTGTCGTGGCAACAGGTGTTAATTGCTTCGTAGCAGCGGGACTTGTTTTGGTAGGTCTAACATAATAAAAATTCATTAAAACCTCTTGAAATTTTAGGTGAACATATAAATTTAAAACAGTAATAGTTGTTAAGTGAACCTATATTATAGTATTCGAGATTAACATTTTAAAGTTATTAATTTTGAGACAAAAAATATTTCGATAACATTCAAATAATAGACAAATGTCCTCTCTAAAAATACGAATGAAGAATCGCTTACCCAGTCTTTGGAGTAGGAGCTTTTGAAGATCTAGCAGATAGTTTCGGGGTAGTAGTTGCCGACCCAGTTTTAGGCAATGCTTTAGATGATACAGCTGGACTTTTTGCCGAACTCTTCGCGTTTACAGCCAGATTCTTTTCTTTTGATGGCGTAGTTTTCAAAGGGGTCTTCTTAACAGCGTCAGATTCTTTCACTTCATGCTTTTCCTCTTCTTTGGGTTTTGTATCAGATAAAACGGCTGTTAAAGCTGCACCCGCGGCAATAGTAGATGCAACACCTATTGCCGTCATCTCAGCAGCAATTTCTTGTGTTTCACTTAGTTGTTCTTTGGCAGGTTCATCATCTGAAAAAAAGGTAAATAATTAATGTGTTGATTTTGTTATAAATAGGATAAAAGGTCTGCATTCAATTATAAATTGAACAATTTTATTTTTTTTTTTTTTTTTAATTATAAGTACGCCATAGTATATCTGTAACTAATGGTCTGTAAAACATAATTCACAAAAATAGTAAAAATTGGTTTATCAGAGTTTACTAAAATGTTCAAACGTAAATTTCCTGCCTATTAGATTAGGTAAGGTTTAGCTTTATCCATGAGTACCACGGAAAAACTTCTGAATTTGGCTAGGAAATGTTACCCCACTTTCCTGGGTGATATAATAAATACAGTCTTTAATTTTTTAACGTACTACATTGGCTAAACGTTACAACACGGTCGGGCCATATAAACTGGCACCGCTGTTATTATTCGTTTCCTATTCGCTCTAATACTAACTCTCTGTAGTTTCACATTCAGTGGCCGACAATGTATTATCTTACACGGTAATATTTTCTTACTGTTATAATTTAGGCAAGCATTTTTATTCACTAAATTGATAAACCGATTTTTACTGTTAAACTAAATGTAATTAAATGTGTTGAGGTTAAACTGGGATACATACACAGCTCACACAACAGTGTTCCTAGTAAAACTTTTCAACGACGATTTTAAAATAATAATTTCAAAAATACTGGGTGGTAGTGTGGATAAATATTTGCTTTTATTTTAAAATTGATAACCAATAGTGCTTAATTTCCAGATAATAAAATTATTAGCTATAATTGGGAAATTAGAATTCTCTAATAAAGCTTCTGAGAACATTAATCAACGGCGAGACACTCTATTTAATGAAAAAGTCATTATTTGTTACCCATTTTTAAGTTTAACCTACTACTTAATTTTTATTCACACTACTTATTGTACTAAAATAATGGTTAAGCTGTGCATGAAGTTCTTTATATTAAACATCATACCTTCCGATAAAATCCATTCTATGACATTACCCAAACGTGTATTGTTAGCTTGAACATTTTCAATAACATGAGATAATAGAGCATCTAAAAGTAATACGTAAAATTATTATTTGCTATAATTTACTGAAGAAAATTATTAATCATAATCATGAATGTGACCTCTTTTTCGTCGGAATGAACTTTATCTAAATGGAAATTGTGAACTAAAATAACAAGGGTTTCTCCAATTTTCTTAGTTGTGTTCAACATAATGTAAAATTATAAAAAATTCAAAGGTTATAAAGGATACATAAAGAAGCAATAAAGCTCTTCGAGATGCAAAGTGGTAGTTTCATAAAAAAGCTTTTGCTTGATAAAGACTGATATTTGCAGTGATAAGAAATGGTTCTGCATTGATGTGAAAAGAGAAAACATTATATTTTATTTGGTTTCTACAGTGAAAATTCTGTCAATAGAAATATTATAATTTAAACAAACTAATATCAAAAACTACAAGTATTAGAAATTAAAAATTTAAAAAAACCGACTTCAAAAAACGTGCCAAATTTATATGGGACCACCCCTGAGGTACCCCCTTACTAACAAAAAAAGAATCATTGAAATCGGACACCGTGTTAAATAATTATCGCTGAACATACATAAAAAAAAATATTGCGACGAATTGAGAACCTCCTCCTTTTTTGAAGTTGGTTAAAAAAATGATCATTTTAATAAAGTTCTTTAGTCCTCTTGATATCATATGTCTATTATAAACTAGTACCTGGATGTTTTAGGAATAAGAAAAACGTTACTGAAGAATGAAACGAGTAGTGACATTAATATAAAAGATCATAATTTTTTGAGAAGAGGCTTAAGAATATTTGTATTAAATTAAACCTAATAAATGCACTATTTTTGCTGATTGCATGTATGAAGCTTTCAAATGAGCAAATGTTACGACTTTCATGCTATTCATACAGAAGAATCAACTGTTTTATGCTACCTAAATATGATTAATGTATAATATGAATTTAGATTTAACTTAATACAACAGATATGCTTCTTTGAATTTTAGTATAAAATTGGTTTACTACATTATTTTCACAAGACTTACCAATTATTACTATATCTGGTAAACGGAACCACTTAAAAACCGACATATTAAAACACAATTAATAACAAGTTCGAATTCTTTGAAAAAAAAAAAAATATGTAAGATATATACACAGGGTGTCAATTTAAAAATTTCCTAGCTGCATCTTCTAATAAAAAAAATAACAAAAATTGCTTAAAACAGGTAAGATTTTTATTCCAATGGGGATATATTTCTATCATATTCTCAAATGTCATACGATATTCACCGGAATGGGACCTTTCGACGTTGTCGTTTATGCATATACACTACAATTTAAATGGATAAGGCCAAATTTCACCGCTAGTAGTTAAGAAATAAGCCATGTTTAAAATGACTTTTTACATTAACAATGTCATTTTAATCTTCGCTTAGTAATTTAAACTTCGCTTAGTAATTTAAACTTCGCTTAGTAATTTAAACTTCTTTTAACATAACGGTGAAATCGGCACTAAAATACGCAGTCATTGAAAGGGTAATTTTATGAAGAATTTAGTAATATGACTGTTCATAGCGGTACTTTTATTTTAGCGCCCTTTAGAAGAATAAAAAAGAATTACACTTTATTAATGTTAGAATTAAATCAATGTGTCACACTTTATAAGTTAGTTTTTTTATCCCGCTAGAGGGGACTAAAATCAAAAGTAATGCAACGTAGATTCATATTACTGAAGTCTCCATAAAATTACCTTTTTAATGATGTGTAACTCTTTGTACTTTCCGTATTTAAACTGCATTGGTTAGTGTTACAAAGGGAATGACGTATGACAATTTGAGAATATGACAGAAAAGTGCCTCCCTTGGAATAAAAATCTACCTGTTTCAATTTTTAATATTATTTTTTTATTAGGAGATATTGCCAATGGGAGGAAGTTTTTAAATTGAAATTTTGTATTTATTAACCATGTTAAAGGCTGAGTTTTCACCAGGCACATTTTCACGGAGTAAACTTATGTGGAAGACACAAAACTACTTTCTTAGAGTACACTTTAAAAAAAATGTAGGTAGTGAATTTTATTTTCTTCTTCCTTCTACAAAAATAGACTTACATAAAATACATCATACACCAATAGCCATTAGCCATAATATGTGACATTTCACTGTCATTAGGAGAGAACTGTTTATTCAGAGAGGGTACTTTAGTGTTTATTATGTTTAAGACAGGAATAAAATATTTTTAACAAATCGGATTTACCTCTTGAAAACTCGGCCTTGAGATTCGAATTATGGATGTTGAATTTAAATTAAACTATTTCGAAGTTAATTTAAATAACCTATAACTGTTTTCAAAATAATATAATAGATTTACTTATTAAATACAAATTGGTTCACAGAATAATAAAGACACTGACGATTAAAAAACCAAAAACATTAAAAGTTCACGAAAACAAAAACCCACACAAAAAACGGAGTCCGTTGAAAATTAATTATACTTAAAATACAAGGTGAACAAGATAACTTCTTGAGGTGACTAAATTTAAATATGGTTTAAGGCGAATTTACAGACAAGTAATTACAGTTATTAAACCGAATAACTACAATTTAGGGATTTTGTGTTTAGTGTGTGTCTACGAACATTTTAGAATTTTAGATAAATAAAACATGGTCTAGAGTAAAAATTGTGCAAAAATATATACGTGATGAATTATTAGACATAATTTCACAAGATATTAACAAAAAGACGTTGTTGGGTACGGAAATGATTTTATCGCAAAAACTCGTATGCTGCTTCTTCGACCTTACTGAGAACAGTTTGATATACTGCATAATAAAACTACCAAGGGTCTTCATATGAGGTCTCAGTATTGCATTTATGCAGACGAAAACATTTTCTTATCCTCACTTTTTAAGACTTTTTAACGTTCGTAAATGCAAAAAAATCTTGACTGTGCGTATGTGTGCCGGCACGATAACTCTAGAAAGAAAGATCCGATTGCCTTGCGGTTTTGATTTTTTTGAATAATTAATTTTAACTTAGAACTCTATTGATTTTCAGAATTTTCGGTTCAACCTAACTACTTTAATATCAATGTTCTTAAAATCCCAATGATTTATGGATTGTATGTGGCGGCATATGAATCTACCTTAAATTAGTCAAAGGAAAAATCAAAATACAAAACTGCCAGCGTTATTAAACCGAAAAATTGAAGGTATTTAACCAAAGAAGGCAAGTACTATTTGACTAAAATAATATTGATTTTCTTACTAAAGCATCAGACGATAAATACCTTGCAGCAAAGGTAGGCTATTGATTAAGGTTCGTATATTAAAATAAAATTAGATATTTATTTTTTTAAGTTGCATTAATAATGGGAATAAAGGATGCTTATCGGGCTAATGAGATGTTTGCATAAAAATTAGTGATTTACAAGACCTTGGATCAACTTTTTCAGTAAGCATCAGAAGACAAAAGTCTATTAAGTAAAGTTTTTCTTCATACTATGTATTTATTTCTTAAGGTCGTTAATAATGGGAATAATGGACGCTTGTAGGGCTAATGAGATGTATTGCATGAAAATGAGTGACTTACAAGACCTTGGATTAGCTTTTTTTAGTAAATTTGCCCAAAACCAGGACAAAAATAACTCTAAATTTATAATTACCGATAATTTTTAAACTACCAGAACGGTAAATGCACTGCCCAAAGAATTGGTATTAATAAATTTACCAAAATGAGGAAAGATATTGCCGCTTTTTAAAAAAAAAAATTAATTTTTATATTTAGGTAGGCTCAAGGGGGGAATGGGTGCAAATATTTTTACATGGTCGGGTCTAAGGGACAAAGAAAACAAATATTTTTACATATAATATAATTTTACATAGACGTATTTAAAAAGGACCAAATAATTTTAGATAAATCGGCTTAAGAAGTAAGGAGCCCAAATTATTTATATGAGCAGGCGTAAGAGGTAAAAGGGCCAATTATTATTAGATAAATTCATCTAACAAGTTGTAAACCCTAATCAAAAGGCGATATGAAATAGTTTTAAAAATCAAGGCTTGTAACAATCACCACGTGGTTTAACCTAAGTAATGGCAATGCTTCACAAACCTGAAAATTCAACGTCTTTATATCGGCTTTCGATCTTTCGTTCCAAATCAAATAATTTCTCGTTTTTTTACGCTACGAGTTTAGCCTTGTGGACCTCAGTTTTGTTAAGGTGAGAACCACCAATTTGGCGTAATTTTATTTTTAATTTCGAGTACACCAAAACCTCCATTCTCATAAATGACCCAATCTCTTTATAAGCTAAATCCTGAACATGCTTATTTAAGTGGCAGCCCTTCTATTACACAGACATAGTCTGTCACGATACTCAAGCACGTATTTTAAAGTTGTTCCTTTACTTAAATGAGACATATTTAAGACATCTATAGACAAAAAGAAACTAAAATATGTCTACTAATGAATTTTCCTAAATAAACCTGTCTAGCGAAGAAACTTTTATCATAAAATAAATAAACTGTCAAAATATAAAACAAGGAATAAAATTCCAAATATCACAGACAATGATATAGACTATACCACAGATGAAGGAAAGGCCGATGCATTCAAAAGGAACTTCATTAAAACATATAACGGAATGAAAGACCCATCTTTTGAACAAGAAAACTGGAGTAATGTAAACTCATGGTGCAAACAATATTTTAGAAATGAGGAAGATAACATAGGAGGAGGACGAATATCAAATTTTTCCCTATAAAAGAACATGAAAACTTGCGTGAAATGACATTCCGGTGACAATCTCCGGCGAGTCGCCAGCTTTTTGGGCTTTCGCCGGCGGATCGCCAGCGAATCGCTGGCGATACGCCGAAATGAAACTCTGGCGAGTCGCTGGCGATCGACTATGCATACGGCTGTAAGAGTTAAAATAAATAACCACACATCTCCAAGTTTCATAGCAATTCAAGGTGTACCGCAAGGGTCGCCACTATCTCCGCTCCTTTACAACATATATTGCTTTGATTTTCCTTCAGGTCAGTTACACCTCAATGCAATACATTACACACTCCAATACGCAGATGACACGGCCTTGATATCGCATGGAAATACGCTAAATCAAACCATCACAGCACTACAAAATCAATATAACGAAGTTGTTCAATGGCTGAATAAATGGAGATTACAAGTTAACCCACAAAAATGTCAATTAATGATACCATATCATGATCTAAGACCGACATCACCTGCACTCATCATATCCAACCAACCAATCTATCCCGTATCCTCAGTGAAATACCCAGGCCTTATTATTGATAATAAGCTGAACTTCAATGAACACACCCGCAGACAAAAAAAAAATCAAAACCAGAGCCAAACATTTCCGCTCTTTAACATACAAAAAAGAAGGTATCAACATCTACACGGCCACTGAAATCTACAAAACAATTTGCAGACCTCTCCTGGAATACGGTCACACTATATATTTAAACTGCCGAAAACCTGCATTAAAAAACATTCAGGTTGCCGAAACTTCTACACTAAGAATCATTACCAAGATGCGACATCCTGAAAACCCCACTCACCATCCAGCGAATGAAAAGCTTTACGAAAAAACTAAAATTCAACCTATCCTGGAAAGAATTAGAAAACTATCAAAACATTTCTCGAAGAAACGAAACAATCGCATGCTAATAAACATTTTTTTTTTGTTTTTTTTCGATGCAACGACAATGAGATCAATAACAGAAATCTTAAACGAATTTGCCGATGAACAATAATTAGTGACACATTGTTTTTTTTTATATTCGTATTCATCTTACACATATAGCTTGTAAATCCTCATACATACTATACAAATTGTACTGGCTGAAGGACCTAGGTCGATGGCCATTTGGTTGTAATATTTATAACCAATAAAGTGCTTTTATTACTATTTAAACCTGTCTATACTTTTGTTTATTCGGTGTTTTAGTTGCACTGAAGACGTGGTGGAGGAGATCACGTGCTCAAGTAAATAGAAAAATAATATAGGTTGACTAAACTTGACTAAACAATTTATGTTGAGTACTAAATCGAGTTGCTTACACGGCATAAAAGTAACTAAATTGGTAACTCAAAGTAACTAAATTGGTAACTCAATTTAGTTACTTGATGCGTGTAAATTCGGCTTTCTTTTTAAAAAAAATATAATATATTATAACTAATTTAATTAAAATCTTGTGGGTGGCTCCCATTGAGTTAGAATGAAGAGGACATGCTATGATGATGCTAAAGTGTCCGCACCTTTGTATTAGTTTGAGGTCAATGTCAAACTCGATCTAGACAGTTTTGGTGAGAATGCCATTTTTGACTTCATTTAAATACCATAAAATCAAAATAATTGACTTTAAATAAATCAAAGTACGACTCAAGTCACAATTTTCATTACAGTTTTCCGTCACTTGAAGTGCGTCCATCTGTCATATCGCAAAATAATGTTTATGTCGTCTCTACTTTATTCTATTTCAATGGTGGCTCCCTAATAAATACAATAAGATATTCATGTCTTTTTGTGAATACCAGGGCTGTTCTCTTTCCGCTAAACCTATCTGATATTTCATGAGATTCGGTCAAATTTTTCTTCACCTTCGCCATAGTTGTATATCGGAATCCTTTTTAGGTACACTTGATTTTTGGGAAAAATTAAAAGTGGGCAGGTGTAAGATCCGGAAAAGAAGGTAGATGCCGCAGCACAGAAGTATTATTGATGAGACACATTATTCAAAATCAACCAATCAATGTATACCCCATTCTCAACATATGTAAAAATTAAATAAAAATTACATTGAACGAAACTAAATACTGTACTTTTACCTGAATTAATGCCTTTGATATTCTTCATTTCTTCAACCAATGCTATTTTGAAATTTAACAAAGCTGAAACTAGAATTTCAACCAGCTTTTGTCTAAAAGCAACTAGGAATTTGTCTAAGGTTTCTTGGGAAATGGAACTGGAATCGGGATTGGCCGAAAGGTTTCCTTGTAAAACTGTTGGGGCATAAGTTGATCTTTAAGATTAGAGTTGATATTTAAGGAGTATTAGTTTGTATATATTTTCCATTTTATTTCTTTTGTAAATTTACTTAGATTATTTCAAACACAAATATATCACAATACAATTATTTTTTAAATATTAAACAGGAAAATACTTACAAAGTGGTATTATTATTCTCAAATGAATCGAATAGAATTGTTTAACATTTATATCTTTGTTTTTATTTATTGTTAATACTAGAATCTTTATGATTTCACTTAAAACTAATATTTGATATGCGCCAAAGAACCTCCTATTTTGTTTGTAATGATAATAAAATAATATTTTATTATCTGGTGTGGTAACTAACGTTTTAAATATTATTTGACAAATAGATAATCTAAATAAATACAATCCACTCGCTATAATAAAAGACAATCTGTATTTATTATAACTGCAGTGAATATTTTGTTGTAAATGTTATGTTTTTGTTCATAATTTATAATATAATTTTATTATTATTATTAAAAGGAGTCAAATAAAGATGCTTATGCTATGAGATGCCGATGAAAAAGAAGATATGGAACAACCGTTACTAGTTTCTACATATCAGAATAAATTAAAATGCAATTGAACAAGGTATACAGTATAAAAGAAAGATGGGAATTGTTGAGTAGAGACCAAAAAAGTAATACAAAAAAGATTAAGATTACTAGTACGATGGAGAAAGCACAAGATATAGGAAAGATGGGTGGACGGAAATTGGAAATATTTATGTTCAACAGTAAAAAAGCCACCGCTGCTGATGATATTAATGATGATGACGATGTTGAAGCTAATAAGAATTCAAATTTTTAGAATAACTAGCTTTCTTGTTAATTATGTAGTTACGTCATTTTTCTAAAACATGAGTCGTGGCCAATAAATAATTTTCTCTATATTTATATAAAATTCGAATAGTATTATTAAAGTTAACACTAATAATTATATTATTTTAAAATGAAACTTTCACATAATCAAACAATTAGGTATTCTTGTACATAAAAAAAGCTTACATTTTTTATTTATTACTAATCTTTTGTGACATTAATCAGACTATAAATATATGCGGCATCAAATATTTAAGAAATTAAAGGTAATTATTATAAAGACAAGTTACAAAAATGTTTCTTTTTAAATCCAAGATGGCTATGAAAGTTAATAATTGTTCACTCTAAGTTTTATAAAGAATGCTAAAATATTTTAACCCTAGGTTCAGGATACTAAAATATTATATGCTAAATAAGTAGGGTTGCCAGATTTACAAAAAGAGAAAGCGGGACAACAGTGACGACAGGGGCTCAGGTTATAAAAAGTATTTTTATAAAATCAGGTCCTTTATTTGTGAAATTTCTACAAAAGGTCCTCGGCTAATATTTTTTATTAAATCAGGTCTTACCTCTTCAAAAATTCTTTATTTCTCACTATGAGTAAAAAGCGAGGCATTTAGGTCAAAAGCGAGGCATTTAGGTTAAAAGCGGAACATTTTCGTACTTTGACGTGACGCGTGTCAGCAAGTCAAAAAACGGAACAATTACGCATGAAGGTCAGGCAACCCTACAAATAACACTAGGTCAAATTGTATCTACTTCGAGATACAGGGTTGGTTAAGATAACATTTGGGAAGGCAAATCCTGCCGTGCTAAAAGTGCTGACATACGTCGCGCCATCCCAAATGTGTTTTATATAATTACATGTGTTCAGACGTGAAGGGACCGTTTTCGGCTTCCTTAGCTGTCGCTTTACGTCTGTCCCTTTGCTCGGTCTCGCCTTCCCGAATGGTACCTTTAAAGTTAAATTTTTTTCGCTTTTTTGCAATATTTTCGTTATTATTTAACGTATAGACTTGAAATTTGAGAATAGAAAAGATGGCTACATTTAATTGAGGAAGAAAACTATTAATTTTTTATTCTTGGCATTTATAAAAATGTTTCAAGTCTTTATGGTGCACCATGTAAATTGAACAAAAAACGTATACTTGTTTTAATTGCATAAATTCAACCCATTTTGAAAAAAATTTCTAGCTATTTAATTTACTTTACAATATTTCAACAAAGTAAACTTGAAAGCAAAAATGAAAATGTACAGCTGTCAATTAATTGTAGAGTTAAGTTACACCAAATTCCATCTAAGCAGTTAGTGAAAATCTCTGTCAGTAGAGTTTAGGTGGTGCCCTCTTTGTCTAATCTCAAAATTAATAACATGTTTATGATTTACTAATCCAAAAATATAACCATACCACATTTCAAGTTAATGCAATAAATAAGAAAAATATTGCAAAAAAAAACTAAAATATATTTTAACTTTAACATCCTGTATCTCGGAAATAGATAACATTTGACCCAGTGTTATTTAAAAAAATATTATTATTTTGAGGTCCTTGAACCTACGGTTAAAATATTTACCATTCCTTATGAACCACCTTGTATACGAGAGTCAGTCAAATATAAACCCGATTTTTTTATTAATTTATTAATGCAAAATAAAAAGTGTAGAAGGCCACTTTACTTTTACTAACCGTGTAGCAGTGTTGCCGATTTGCGGATAATTATACGATTTTCGTATATTCTGACTTGGGAGCGTATATTTTTCTGTTTGAAATTCCATATAATTTCCGTACAATCGGGAAAAACTATGTATCATTTTAGATTTCCATTTATTTTAAAAATAAGTTTATACACTCCTGAGTTTATTTGGACAACTTAGTTGTTTCAGTGTGTCTTCTGCCCTACTTTTATTAAACAGTGGCTGCTTATTTCAGAGGCCACACTTCATGTCATTGACCAATGAAAACAGGCCCGCAGCCGGGGATTCACCGAACCGATATTGTATTGTTGAAATGCACTTTGGAAATTTTGGGTTTTGGCAGTCTGCCTGAACGAATCTGCGTTCCTACATTTATTCTGTCAGCAGTGCCCCATCTCACAAACCTAAAGCCGAACCTGGCAAAAACACAAATTTGATATCCACAAATGCAAATATGTGGCTGCAAAGCTAAATCTACAAAGGCGTATAAAAAGCGTATCTTTTGTACCCAGCCACCGTATAATTTCATGTATGGGTATTGGCAACACTGGACCGTAATGTAAAAGGCCAGTTGATTAAGAAGGATATGTTAGGTTAGAAGGTTAAGGTAGTTTAGTTGGAAACGAGCGGGTAGAAAATAGATTAAGGCGGGACTCGCGACACGCCACAACAAGAAATAACAAGATTTATAAAAGTGTTGAACAGAAGCAGAGTAATATTTATTTCGAGTAAGAGAACCTCTACAAAAGCAATCTTAAAATTTTTCTACAAAGCCTTTTTAAAGATCTACACATTTTTGCCAACGTCTAGGAAGCTTTTTGATTCCATCCTTATAAAGGTTAAGTCACAACCCAGTTGCGCACTAACCACTTTACATCGTTATCATTTTTGAAACGCTGTCCACCGATTGCTTCTTTCAGTGGCTATAGTATGAAGAATTTACAGTACAACGTTCATGAAGAAAAAAAAAACAATATTCCTCTTGTCCCAAAAAATGGTTGTAAGGACTTTTCCAGACAACAGTTTCGTTTTGGATTTTTCGGGGCAATGTTCCCAACTTCTTCATCACTCCATACTCGCTCTTTTGGATTCGGGAGTCTAATGATGTGCTAACTATTCGATGCAAAAAAAAATTTCTCTCGTTCGTATCATTCCAAAAGCCTGTGACATATGTCTATTCAACGCTGCCTCTGACTCTGTCAAAAGTCATTGAACCTATCTTGCACATATTTTTCTGAATCCAAGGCAGTCTGTGATAATGGTATGGGCACTCCCATGACTTATGTTTGTCACAGTAGCGATAAATTAAGCAGTAACCAAAACCGTGACACTGGAATGTTTGACAGAACTGATAATTAAGTTACTAAAAGACTGCAATTCTATTTCTCGTTTGATCAGATTATTATGGAAGAATACGTATAATCAATTTTAAACCAAATTAAACAATTTCATTACTAAATAACATTTTAAATATAAATGTGGGAAACTTTATAAAATATATTAGAAAGTCTAAGATTATAGCAATTAAAAATGCAAGAGCACTTATATTTAGGAGCCATCTTCGTAGACCTGTAGCAACTTTAGGACAGCTTTTGAGCTTTAGCTTTAATCGTTTCAACCTAACCCTTAAGTTGGCAACGTATCCTATAGGATACATATGTGCAATCTCTATATGTATTCTGGGTAGTATATTTAGAACTACGTTGTTTCATGCATTTGTCAATAGGCTTGCTGTTAAATGATTTTAATTTGAGTTACAAATTGATAACTTGCATGGTGATTCAGTTTTAATGAAAATTTTGAAATGTAGTAGACTTGCTGTATTTATTTTATTCAAATTATTGAGGCATTTATTAAAATTGAAAATATAAAATGTGTTTCGAAATAATAATAAGTCATATTTATACTTATAGACATAATTTTTGTAAAATAACCTCCCGCACAAAGGATAGAGGGAAAATGTATCATATAGGATACAGTGCCAAGTTCCTAAGCATACCTTATTTTATTTTTATTTTACACAGACAATAAATTGTCACATTAAAATCATAGTATTAATAATTTCTGTATGAAATTGTCGCACCCGTGCAGGAAGCAGTGCCGGCCACCGAAAGCTTTCCATTATTCTTTGCACAAATCCTTGTGACAACTACAGAGTAGACATGGGTAACGCAGCGCTGTGTTGCGTTATTGCGTTAACGCAGTTGTATGCGTTACGAGTGTTGATACACCAGTTGTTATTGTATCAGCGCAACGCAATTTTCGATACTGAGTCGAAAGGATCGCGAGTTGTTGGTGCGCCATGCGCCAGGCACTGATTCCGTTTTCCGTGACGAGTTGAGAATTTTAATTTACGTAATTGATGCAACTCGTAATGCAGATTACCCAAAATCTTTCAAGTAATTATGTTCTTTGCAACATGTCACATCATTTGTAGGATTGTAGGTCGAATTTTATGAATTTTAATCTTGTACACTGTCAATTTTTAGTTCTTTTCAATTTGATTGGCTACTAGTATACAAAATTTATATTCTTTTTATATAAATTGGAATTTTTGTAAATTTTGTAAAATCCGAACACAATGAAATAAAAAAATGAGTGCATTACACTGTTAAATTTTCGTTTATTTTTAAACATATAATAAAAAAAATTTAGTTAAATTCCCAATTGCGTTATTGCCTTGAACAAAAGACAGCCCGCGCTGTATAACACCGGTATCATGCGATACACCGAGGTGCATCGACTTCATTCGGCGCAGGCAGTGGTGTGACGCAATAACGCAATTGCGTTAACGCAATGAGTTGGCGCAATAGAGTGCGCCGGAGTTAGTGTATCAACGCAAAGAATTTTAGTGCGTTACCCATGTCTACTACAGAGAGTTAGCATTAGTGGAGGCAAAAAACGGATAATATCAACGTTGCCAGTTTAAACGTGGCAGCAAAACAATAACTTCCTCAACGAGATATCTGTTTAGACAATGTAGGGCCTTTTGCAATATAGGTATGGCAAAAAAGGAAGATGCCGTTTATGTCAAAATGGCCTTGTACAAGGTACAAAAGGTGACAGAGTAGGTGCTATGAACCAACATGGGGTAAAACACAATAAGCCAATAGGCTTCAGTGTTATTCAGAGACATAGTCAGACGAGCCCAGGAAAAAAAATGTCAAAATGGCCAAACTGCAATTTTTTTGCCAAAAATGCAACGTCAGACTTAGGTGAATTCAAGGAACTGCTTCCTAACATTCCATAATAAATAAAATTTAAATAGATATAGAAAAATAATTATTTAAGTAAAATAAAAATTTGCTATAAACTTGGCAATGTATCCCATAAGATACATGATATTATTTTTTTTTTTAATATCATATAAACATTTTGTTATTTAGTGTTTTTTTTTAATAAATTTTTTTTTGTAATGTTAATTTCGGTTACTGCCAACTTAAGGGTTAACATTGGCTGGCCATAATAAAGAGTGATGCACAAAAAATGTTTCTAAAGTAGGCCATGGCCGACAAACAGAGAGATAGTCATGTCCGTGATAACAACGCACGGCTCTGAATTAAATATAAATTATAACTTAAAAAGAATTTTACGCTCCGACATGCGTAAATTTTTCCAAGGTCTACTTTAGAAACATTTTTTGTGGATCGCTTCTTATGCCTTACTAATAACTCCTGGAAGGTACTTAAAATCTGAGAAAACTATATATAGAACAAGAAAAAATATAAATTCTCAGTACAAAGTAAAGGAGATTTAGATTAGTTTTCTATATTAAAAGTTATTTGATTTTACTTATATATTTATAAACAAAAAATCGATACTGACAATTCTCTCTTCCTCTGTATGTATTTAAAAGGGGTCCACAGTACTTAGATTTTGATTAGGACTATGCGTAGAGGTCGAAAAACCTCTCCCATCTCAATCTGTGATTATCTATTATTGTGGGTGTACTAAATGACCTGCTGTTTAAGTTTTACCTTCGTAGACATTAATGTATAAAAAATTAAGTTGAGAAAAAGTATAGTTTGCAGTAATGTAGAGAGATTAACGACAATATTAATAGGTAATAGAAAGAGTAATCGGTTTCTGCTGGCCTGTCACTATAACGGAAAAGTACCAAATTGGCCACAACTCATATTTTTAAAGGATCATGTTCCTTCAATGACATCAAAATGTGAACATTTTAAAACGCTATGGTCCTAGTGAGGCCAAAGTGCCGTATGCTATTTATCCCACCCTCAAAATAGGAGCAACTTTGGATAAATCTGAGAATAAGTAAAATATATATATATATATTTATTTATTATTGCCTAGAGATGACTTACGTGAGGAAGAAGGGTTATACGTTTCCATAAATTTCGAGCCGGGATATAGAATTTTAATTTTTTTAATATCCTTTTCGGATTTCGTCTGATTTGGCTTATCACCAACGCATAATTCCAGTTTGTCCCTTGTCTGAGATTTTGGTTTGTGTCCATTTAAAATGTCTATTGATAATTCTGAAGATTTCAATTTGAGTGTCTCAGCTGTAGTCTCAGTTGCAAGTTCAGTAATTTTTTGGACTTCCTCGGTAGATAATGGACCTTCGTGTAATTCAGCCGAGTCTATATGTTTTGATAGATCGTATACACATGTTGGATGTTCTTCAGAGGAAACAGGTGATAAATGCGGTTCTTTCTCCATTTTCTTATTATCAATTTCTTTACAAATAGGTTTTTCAGGAATATTATCTTCTCTTTTGTCTGAACTGATCAATTCAAACTTTAAATCATCCGGTAGCAGTATACTCATAGGAACGACTTCGGGATTGGCACATTCATTTGTTGCAGCTACCCTATTAACAAGTTCTGACTCTGCCAATTGTGACATATTTGTATATTCCAAAACATTATTATCCTCCTTTTCAGGTTCTTCTACATCACTTGTAATATTTTGATTTACATTTAAAACTTTGTCATTTTCGCACTTGGTTAGCTCTTCTGATGTGTGTTGATCAACATTTTCAGCTAAAAATTCTTCAGTATTTTTCTTCTTTGCTAATGCATCGGAAATGCATTCAATTGTTGCAATTCCATCGACCTTATTACCAAGAAATTTAAGTAAATTATGTGTATTATCAGATACTGGCATTTTACTATTATGTTCTGGATCAGATGAAATATTGGGATCTTTAGAAGTAAGTATGGGATTACTTTCAGCACCACTTAACGACCCTTCTTTTTGTTCTTCAAGAGTCGAAAGAAGATAAGAATAATCACAGACGGGCTTATAAGTGCCGCCAATGGAAAATTCTTCTTCGTGTTCTTCAGAAGTATGAACAGAAAAGGAATAATCGTACACTGGTTTATAATTATTGGCATCTTTAATTTCAGATGATTTGTTATTTTTCAAATCATTCGATACATCACTTCTTAACGTATAAACTATAACTAGTTTTGACATTTGCAATTTATTTTCCTGTGAAGGTTCATCTGTTTTTAGTTTAGAAGTTTGAATAGTATCAGCTTCTTTATCAAAATTGACGAGTTTAATGAGTTTAGATTCACTTTTATCACCACTTGCAGACTCTTTTTCTTGTTTCTCTTCAAGAGTTGGAAGAAGATATGAGTAATCACAGATTGGCTGATAACTACCTTTAACAATAGATATTTCAAAATCCTCTAATTTTTTAGAGACCTTTGTACAAACTATTTCTGGTTCTATGACTTGATCTTTGGTTTCGATTGGTTCGTCTGAATTTTGAACAAAGTTAACCTTTTTACCCACAGTTGCAGTTTCTGTAAAAATTACTGCATCTTGTGCAGAATCATTTTCAAGATCATTTTCTTGTTTGTGTTGTTCTATTGGAAAAATATAAGAATAATCGCAAACTGGTTGATAAATGGTTTCATATTCATGTAATGAGTCATTTTCTTGTTTATATTCAAGAGGTGGGGTATATGAATAATCGCAGACTGGATGATAAATGTCTTGAATATAAGACTTAAATATTGGCTCTTTGTCTTGTTCCTGTTCTTCAATACTTAGTTGATAAGAATAATCACAAACTGGATGATAATTACTGTCAGTAAAATATTCATTTTCATAATGGCATACTGGTTGAATGCATTGAGTATGATATTCACCATAATCATCATTGGAGGAGTCTTTTTCGTGTCTCCGTTCTTTAGTTTTTAAATAATCACAGACTGGGTTATAAACGCCCTCATTAAGAAATTCATAGTTTTCCTCAGCAGACTTCTCTTGTTCTTCAAAAATAGGAAGATGAGAATAATTGCAGACTGGATTATTAATGCCTTTAGTAAGAGGTTCTATGTAATCATTTTTGGGTTTAGTTTCTTGTTTGTATTCTAAATGAATTGGAGAATATGAATAATCGCAGACTGGGTTATAAATGCCTTCATTAAGAAATTCAAAATTATCCTCTTCAGGCTCTTTCTCTTGTTTGTGTTCTTCAAAAGAAGGAAGATATGAATAATCGCAAACTAGATTATTAATGCCTTCAGCAAGAGGTTCTATGTACTTAATTTTGGACTTAATTTCTTGTTTGTGTTCTCCAAAAGGTAGAGAACATGAATAATCGCAGATTGGATTATAAATGCCTTCATTAAGAAATTCAAAGTTTTCCTCTTCGGACTTTTTCTCTTGTTTATGTTCTTCAAAAGAAGGAAGATATGAATAATCGCAAACTGGATTATTAATGCCTTCAGCAAGAGGTTCTATATAATCAATTTTGGTCTCAATTTCTTGTTTCTGTTCTCCAAAAGTTGGAGAATATGAATAATCGCAGACTGGGTTATAAATGCCTCCATTAAGAATTTCAAAGTTTTCCTTTTCTGGCTCTTTCTCTTGTTTGTGTTCTTCAACAGAAGAAAGATATGAATAATCGCAGACTGGGTTATAAAGGCCTTCATTATGAATTTCAAAGTTTTCCTTTTCTGGCTCTTTCTCTTGTTTGTGTTCTTCAAAAGAAGAAAGATATAAATAATCGCAAACTGGATTACTATTGCTTTCAGCAATAGGTTCTATGTACTCATTTTCTTCTTTGTGTTCTTCAAAAGAAGGAAGATATGAATAATCGCAAACTGGATTATTAATGCCTTCAGCAAGAGGTTCTATGTACTCAATTTTGGTCTTTTCTTGTTTGTGATCTCCAGAAGTTGGAGAACATGAATAATCGCAAACTGAATTATTAATGCCTTCAGCAAGAGGTTTTATGTACTCAATTTTGGTCTCATTTTCTTGTTTGTGTTCTCCAAGAGTTGGAGAATATAAATAATCGGAGACTGGGACAGAAATGTCTTCATTAAGAAATTCAAAGTTTTCCTCTTCAGGCTTTTTCTCTTGATTTTGTTCTTCAAAAAAAGGAAGATATGAATAATCGCAAACTGGATTATTCATGCCTTCAGCCAGAGGTTCTATGTACTCAATTTTGGTATCATTTTCTTGTTTGTGATCTCCAGAAGTTGGAGAACATGAATAATCGCAAACTGGATTATTAATTCCTTCAGCAATTTTGGTCTCATTTTCTTGTTTGTGTTCTCCAAGAGTTGGTGAATATGAATAATTGGAGACTGGGATAGAAATGTCTTCATTAAGAAATTCAAAGTTTTTCTCTTCAGGCTCTTTCTCTTGTTTTTGTTCTTCAAAAGAAGGAAGATATGAATAATCGCAAACTAGATTATTAATGCCTTCAGCAAGAGGTTCTATGTACTCAATTTTGGTCTCATTTCCTTGTTTGTGATCTCCAGAAGTTGGAGAACATGAATAATCGCAAACTGGATTATTAATGCCTTCAGCAAGAGGTTCTATGTACTCAATTTTGGTATCATTTTCTTGTTTGTGTTCTCCAAGAGTTGGAGAATATGAATAATCGCAGACTGGTATATAAATGCTTTCATTAAGAAATTCAAAGTTTTCCTCTTCAGACTCTTTTTCTTGTTTATGTTCTTCAAACGGAGGAAGATATGAATAATCGCAAATTGGGTTATTAATGCCTTCAGACTCAATTTTGGTCTCAATTTCTTGTTTGTATTCTCCAAGAGTTGGAGAACATGAATAATCGGATACTGGGATATAAATGTCTTCATTAAGAAATTCAAAGTTTTCCTCTTCAGGCTCTTTCTCTTGTTTTTGTTCTTCAAAAGAAGGAAGATATGAATAATCACAGACTAGATTATTAATACCTTCAGTAAGAGGTTCTATGTAATCAATTTTGGTCTCCATTTCTTGTTTGTGTTCTCCAAAAGTTGGTGAATATGAATAATCGCAGACAGGGTTATAAATGCCTTCATTAAGAAATTCAACGTTTTCCTCTTCAGGCTCTTTCTCTTGTTTTTGTTCTTCAAAAGTAGGAGGATGTGAATAATCGCAGACTGGATAACAGCTTTCAGTAAGAGATTCGTCGACGTAACCTTTGTTTGATTCATTTTCTTGTTTGTATTCTTCAAAACTAGGATGATATGAATAATCGCAAACTGGTTGATAAATGTCCTCAGTAAGAGATTCGACGTAATTATTTTTAGGTTCATTTTCTTGATTGTGTTCTTCAAAAGTAGGAAGAAACGAGTAATCACAGACTGGATGATAAATAACTTCAGAAAGAGATTCGACGTTATCATTTTTGTTATAAATTTCTTGCTTTCTTTCTTTAAAATTTATGACATACAAATAATCACAGACTGAACTAGAAATGCCTTCCATAAAAGATTCGATGTTGTCATGTTTTAGCTCATTTCCTTGAATGTATTCTTCAACATTCATATGATACGAATCAACGCAGTTTGGACAATGAATGTCTTGAGTAGATTCGACGTTATCATTTTTAACCTCTTCTTCTTGTTTATGTTTTCCAAACGTTATTAAATAAGAATAATCATTTAGTAACTGGTAACTGTCGTCGATAATCACTTCAGCGTTATTAGTTATATTTCTTACATTATTATGATCAATAAAATCTGGAATATACGAATAATCACAGACTGGTACATAATGATCTTCAACCAAAAATTCAAGACTATATGTTGATTCTGTATCGTCGTTTTTCTGTTCTTCAGATGATTGAGAAGAATAAGAATACGAGTCTGGCTGATTATTTACACCAAGAGAATCATCATATGACTTATTTGTTACACAAATTTTATTTGGAATTGATTTAGGAGTTATAAGATGAACGTCTTTACTTAAAACTGATTCTACATTTTCTGAATCATTGAATACCTCAGGTTTTCCACAAACAAGTATTGAAATTTTAAGATCAGATTTTGTTTTATCGCCACTTGAAAAATCTTTTTGTTCCTCAAAAGCTGAAATATTGACACTACATTGGGCAGATATTTCACTACTTTGTGTCTCATAACTTGGCGAACAAACTATTTCTGTTTTGGAAAATCGTACTTTTTTTTCATCGCTTTTGGTTGACTGGCCCAAAACTTGTTCACAAGTTGAAGAAACAAAATGAACCTCTTTACGTAAGTGTGATTCACTTTTGTTATTACTCCAAGACTCCTTTTCCTTTCCTTCTAATTGTTTTTTGAAAGTTGGAAAAAGAACAGATTCGGTTTCAACGTCGCTTGAAGAATCTTTCTGATCAGTACCAGTTGGAAGACGGTAGGAATAATCACACGCCAGTTGATTTTCTGTATGAATTAATTCAGTTTTAACATCTAGAGAAGAATCTTCCTTTTGCTCAGTATCATGTAGAAGACAGGAATAATTATAGTCTGGTCGATAATAATTGTTTTTATTCACAAACAATTCTGAATTTTCTGCATCAAATACACGAGGTTTTAAAAATAAAGTGTTAATTGTTTCTTCTGAAATTAGTTCGTCTACATTTTCTTCAGTATCATGAATAGCGGAATGAAGTTCTATTTTCAGTTCATCATAATTTTGAGGAATACCAGAATTGTTACTGACTGTTTGATACAAGTGATTATCAATTATTTTAACTAAATCTTTACTTAAATTGGATGTTATTCGAGAATCTGTATTACTGGTATGTTTTTTATTTTGTAATTCCTGATAAATTTCACCAAGTGTTAAAATTGGGCTTTTAATTTGTAGATCACTAAATTCTTTGTTTAATTTTGTGTATTCATGGACTGATTCAATATTTGAAATATTTGGCACCGATTTAATACATCCACATACAGATGATACATGTTGTGAACAGACCAGTTCAGACTTTAATACTAGCTTGGCTTTTGATTTTGTACTTTCGCTTTTATCGCCAACAAGACATTTCTCTGGGACTATTTCAAACGGACGAATATATTTAGAATTACCACAAACAGAACTTTTTGAACTATTTGATTCGCTAACAATCTTCGACAATTCAGCAACAAGTTCATTACATATTTGTTTCGTTTGTTTGTCAAAAGATTCTATTTCTTGTTCAGTTTTTTGGTTAAAAAGTGCAGACAATTTACCAATTGATGCTATTAGTAAATATAAAATTATTTGGAATTAAATTATGAAAATTTATCATTTTTTAATTATGATTCCCGACATAGATGCATCATCGCGAAGGCTTTCTGATTTGCAACTCTAAATTCAAAACTCAAAATGAAAACTCTAAAAGAAAACTCTAAAAGAAAATAAAAAAAAACTCAAAACATAAATCAAAATGGATGTTTGACAAATACATTAAACAAATAGATATAATTTGAATTTAGATAACAATTTATGAATTGCAGCCAATATACTTTCCCGCTATTTATATGTACGATATTTGTAATCAAAAAAAAGTTTTTACTTTTTTAATTAATTTAGCATTATTGGAAACACCAAATATTCCAATTACCAAAACCAATGTTCATACAATTTCCATGGTCAAAAATATTTTATAAACAATAATTTAATTATATTTTCTTTCATGTGTCCCACAAGTTCTAAATATGTCCGTTAGTGAATCGTTTATGAGCTTATTTGAATACAAAAAAAATTAACATAAAATAAGATGAAATACAAGTATTTAAAACAAATTATTTACCATGTGTACTAATCCAAAAGAGCAAAATACAATTGAACTACACATAACTACTTAAGAAAGGAACTACAAGCTTTTAAGTGGACAGCGGATAGCAATACCACAGTTTAAAGAATATATATAACAGTTGCCGCACTTTCCTAAAAGTTCGAAACAACATACCCTCTGTCGCGTCTGGCCGCGCACACTGAAGGCATACTGGTATCAACCCTCTGCCGTATCGGGTGGACCAGTTATTTGCGTACATCGTTTGAGATTTTCTTTGTTATTCCTTTTTGTATTAAAATGGGCGGTAAAAATATTTGTTGTGTGGACGGTTGCGAAAATCGGTTACAGAGCGGATTGTCATTTTTTAGATGTCCCAAAGATCAACAAAGGTATATGACCACTTTACTACTTTTTGAGATAACAAATATTTTATTATTTAAATCTACAAATGGTAAATTAATTACATAATTAAATAATAAGCCATTTGTTTACAAAACATTTACCTTTTCCCAAACAATATAAAAATGTTTTGTAGGTGCCAAATTGGGAAAAATACTCTAGGCTTTACAGGATCCCATAAATATACTCATTTTACGCCAGAACAATGTTATAGCTCTATTAGAATTTGCGCTTTGCATTTTCGATGAAGATAGTTTTGTAAACTCTTCTAGAAGTCGTACCCATAATTATGCTGTTCCATCTTTAAGGTTAAAAATCGATTCAATTGGAAAAGGTAGATTTACAAATGTATTTTAACAATTTTTACGGAAACAATATTTCTCACACATTTATAGAAAACATTCACACAAGTACATCAGTCTATGACATGCCGGTATCAAACCCTACCTATGTTATGTTGGGAATGGGGTGTTAATACACTGCGACCTAAAAGATCTATTGTGACCCCTTCTGTCGCTAATGCACTAAGGAAATGTCTCAATGCCTATAACGACCCTTCCAATCCTAATTTCTCAAGGAAGTGTAAGATTTGGACTGGCTTCAAGTTAGGTACATTTCCCTCTTCTATTTGATATCCTCCTATATATAGTGCCCATGGATTCTGGAGTGCTACACATTCAGTTAATAATCTACACACTATCCTCTACTACCTACTACCTATAATATTACCAGTTTGAAGTTGAAAAAACGCAAGAACCAATGATGCATGTGTTCAAACTACTTACCTCGACTACGCTGATTACTCCGATCACAAAGGTCATTAAAACACTGCATTTTATATATAACGACCGTGAAACTGAAATAGACAAGTACCACCTTCTTATGATTGAATGACATACACTCAAGTTTAAATACTTTGTTAAAATAAACGGTCTTTTAAACACACATTGTCAAATATTGTTAGGTTCCTATTAAAAATTATTGAACAAAATATATTGGTTTTGAGGAAAGAAGGAAAAAAGTCAATTTCGTGCAGTGATTAAACACTATTATTTGAAAGGGAAAACGGCGAAAGAGACAAAAGGCTCGATAAACATTACGGTGAGTCTGCTCCGTCAGATTACATGGTAAAGTATTGGATTGCTGAATTTAAACGCGACCGAACAAGCACTGCAACAATACCATCAACAGGAAGACCAAAAGAGGTGGTTACTGAAGAAAATATCAAGAAAATCCTCGATATCGTTATGAATGATCGCAGAGTCAAGTTACGTGAGATTGTTGAAATGGTAAACATGTCATATGAACTCGTGTTCAACATTTTGCATGGTTATTTGCATATGAAAATGCTATCGGCAAGATGGGTGCCGCGTTTGCTCAGTGTCGAACAAAAACGAGTTCGACAGACCACTTCACCGCGGTGTTTGGACATGATAAAGCATAATCCTGTTGATTTTTGGCGTCAATTAATAACTGTTGGTGAAACGTGGGTCCACCACTACACACCTGAAACCAAAAATCAATCGAAACAATGGGTGGAAGCTGGTGGAAGTGCTCCGAAGAAGGCGAAGACAGTGAAATCTTGAAAAAGGATCCACAATCACAGGAAAGTATTATCGTGCATTATTGGATCAATTGATTGATGCAATCAAGAAAAACGACCACATTTAAAGAAGAAAAAACTGGTCTTCAGACAACGCACCGGTTCACACAGCATTAGATACGATGCTAAAATTACGTGAAATACACTTCGAATTGGTTGATCATCCACCTTATAGTCCAGATTTAGCTCCTAGTGACTTTTTCCTGTTTCCAAACTTGAAAAAAATGGCTCGCAGGAAAAAGATTCATCTTAAACGAAGAAGTGATTACCGAAACTAACGCGTATTTTGAGAGGTTCCCAAAATCGTATTATTCAGATGGTATAAAAAAGTTGGAATATCGTCTTACTAAGTGTATTGAGCTAAAAGGAGATTATGTAGAGAAATAAATGGTTTAAAAAAAAAATGTTTTTTCCTACTTAGGTAGCTTCAATATCAATCCGCCCTCGTAGTACTATTCAATTTAAAATTTTTAGAAGTCGGTACCCAAATGACACCAAGGCTTTCCGAAAATTCACCAAGAAAAAGAACATTAAAGGAATCTGTCAAAACACTGGAAAGGGCCCCAACATATATAGAAGGAAGCTAGAAACAGAGGTGACCTTGGAAGATGTAAAGTTTGTAGAAACCAGATACTCAGAGGAATCCTCTCAATTTTTAAAAAATCAATTATATTTGCGCCAAAAGGGTCCAGGTATACTATAGAGTTTAAGTAGTTGGCTTTAAGTGTTTATTTTCTTGGGCCATAGGCCTACAAAGAAATGTCAACATTGGTCAGATTACCCTCAAATGCCACATTAGAACGCTTTACAAGTAAATGGCCTATAAAACCGGGATTTAATGATTTTATTTTAGACATATAAATAAAAAAATATACGTGTGGCACTCGAGGACTGCCGCGGTAAAGCTATTGCATAGCATTTTTTATCCACTTATGCAATTATAATTATTTATTTATTTTATTTATGCATTATTTTTTTTTTTTTTCGATTTTTGGATTTTTCGATTTTTTGAATTTCTTTTATTGAATAAATAAGAAGTTAATATTGTTTAACGCCGCACCGCTGTGCCGGTCGGAGTAGGGGCTGTTAGGTTTTTTCCGTTAGGGTTTCGTTTTTTTTTTTTCTTGATTCGGTCGCCGCGCTCAAAGCCCGTGATAAAAGCTATGCAATAGCTTAAAAACAAAAAGATTGTCTATTATGTCTCGACAAAATATCTCTAAAATTTCACCTTTTTTATGATATTTCAAAGGACATTATTGGTGTTCAAATTAGGAACAATAAGAACGCTCCCAAAGTAGCAGGAAGCGCCTTAACCATAATGGCTAGAGGTATAGCAGGCAGCTGGAAACAGCCGATAGCTTATTTTTTTATGGAACATCTCCAAATGCTGATGTTATTAAGGAAATTTTATTTGAATGTACTCGAAAGTTACGTAATAATGGGTTAAATATGCTTGGAGTGGTATCTGACCAAGGTTTAAATTTTTACAAATTAGTCAAGAGCACTCTTCTACTAACAGAAGATAATCCCTCACTTTTCGTTGATGAAATGAAGCTAGTTTATTTGATATAACACACTTGTTGAAGTCGAGAAGAAATATTTTTTTAACATACTTTTTTATTGCCTGAAGAAGAAAAAAGAAAGAAATATTTAGAAATGATGTTTAATATAGATAAAACCAAACAATATAAACTTGCTCCTCGATTAATGAATGATCACATTTACCCCAAAAATTTTCAAAAGATAAAAGTAAAATTGTCATCACAAGTCTTTAGCCATTCCATAGGGGTGGCATGCATACTAATATAGAATTTAATGTTTTACCTACAGTAGCATCTACCACAGCAAATTTTATTTTAATAATGGACAATAAGTTAGGTAATGTTCAAGCTTTTATGGGTACTGAACAACAACAAAAATTATTAAAAGAAATGTATAATATTTTTAAAAATTTGAGTGTTATAACTTGAGTGTTATAACTTGGGACGAAAAAATGTGACAAATTAGATGAAATTTTTATATGGATGGAGAATGACATTCAAGTCAGTTTTTATGGGAGACACAAAAAGCCAATGGATACAAATATTTATTTATCCAAAACCTCAACCAAGACTGCATTGAAAACTTTTTTGAACAAATTAGAAATTGTTGTGTTAATGCTCGGAACCCTACACCTGTACAATTTAGCAGATCATTTAAAAAATTATTTGCAATAAGGTATTTTGATACTGCCGAATTTACTTATTGTTGCAGTAATGTGTTTTCTGTGCCTACACCTACATAATATACTCCCTTAAAATTTTTACCAACGATTATACGAATATCAAACGTACGGAAGGAAATGCGGTGGTTAATGTAATCGGTTACCTTTTAAAAAAATCTTTGTTGCAGCACTCTTGTGAAGTATGTATTAATTATTTCAACAATACCGATCTAGTAAATGGAATTTTATTTTGTAAACTAAAGGCGTATGAGAATGAGAAATCTCCATATGGTGATTTGAAAGTGCCATCCCAAGATATTGTTGATTTCGTTTTAAAATTGGAAAACATTTTTACTTTCCTATCTGTATACAGATATAAGGAAAGTATAGGAATCATGATTTTTTTCGACCTCCAGTTTTCGACGGATTTTTACGTTTTGGGGTCCCCTGAATCCGTTTTGACTATTTTCGGGATGATGTCTGTGTGTGTGTCTGTATCCACCATAACTCATGAACCGATACAAAGAAAAACACCAAATCTTAAACTTAAGCTATACTCCAGCGTCCAATGAACTGATTAGATTTTGGGCAGAGACGGAACAACTGGGGGGGGGGGTACTTTATAGGTGGTCATTTTTATATTTTATGGAATATATCTGTTATTTACGTTTTGAGAAGAAAATTCTTTAAATAAAAGTTACTTACAATATTATTGTCAATATTTTTTGTTCTATACAAAATTTTCCTAAAATGGTCCGTATTCGAGAAATTTAACAAAATGTAAAAAGATATTTTTTTATAAAAATTGTTCAAATAAAAGTTGTTTGTAATATAATTCTCTATAATTTTCATTCTATACATAATTTTTCTAAAATGGACCGTATTCGAGATATTTGAGAAAATGTGTAAATTTCGAATTTTGAAGAAAACTCAAAAACGGATAAAGGAAAAAAAATTAAATTTTAAACTTAAGTTTTATTTCGGCCTGACGTAAAATGATTAGATTTTGGATAAAGTCGAAACATCTGGGGGGGTACTTTATGGAAGGCCGTTTTTATATTTCATGGAATATATCTGTTATTTATGTTTGGAGAAGAAAATTGTTCAAATAAAAGTTACTTCTAATATTATTATCTATAATTTTTGTCTTTTGTCAAATTTTCCTGAGATGGTCCGTATTCGAGAAATTTTAAAAAATGTGCAAAAGTCTGATTTTTAAGAAAATTGTTAAACTAAAAGTTGTTTGCGATATCAATCTCTATAATTTTTGTTTTTAAATGATTTTTCTAAAATGGAACGTAATGGAAAAATTGGAGGAAATTTAATTTTTCAGTATTTTCGTTTTCAATGAATATCTATAGAAAAATGTTTGGAGTTAGATGTATGTGGAAAATGTATATATTTAGTTTATCCTCAAAACATTTATAGAGGTGCTACAATAAGTTGTACAAAATAACTGGAAAAAGCCTATAATAACTGTTGGACACATCAGATTTTTGTACAAACTTTTAATACTTTGGCTTATAGGGAAGAAATTGGCACAAAACTCAAAAATGAATTTTGTAAAGTTATTTATATTCATCATTGTAAAAACTTTCCATTTGAATATTTTTTGAGTTTATATACACGAGTACGAATTTATTTTACTTTAAAATTCATTAACAATGACAATAAAACAAGAAAATTAAATAAAGATCGACATAAGGGTATCACTAAATTAACAATATTAAAAAACTTCGTCTGTTTTTACCAGACTTCAAAAAAGGAGGAGGTTTTCAATTAGTCGGAATATTTTTTTTATGTATACAGTGTGTCTACTTAAGTTGGAACCATATGGAAAACATTTTTATTATTGATTTTAGGAAAAAAAAGTTATTCTTGATAAAAAGTCCTGCATGACCCAAAACCTAAAATACAGTCATCACATATCAAATTTTTCAAGCCGTATACGAGGTTTGTCAAAAAATATGAATTTTGCTCAAGAGTAAAGTATTATTATTTGATTTTGACAAAATCGAAAATTTTCATTAAGAAAAGTTGATTAGAATTGAATATTACATTCAAATATGCAATTACACCGATCTATCTGAAAAAAGAGATTTTCTTATTTTCTACACTCTACACATTGATTGTAAATATCTGAAAACGTTATAAATTACGTTAGCTACTATAAACATGATACGCTTTCCTTTTGTTGATGTTTGTGAAGAATTTAGCAAATTTCTTAATGAAAATTTTCGATTTTGTAAAAATTTTTTTTGACAAACCTCGTATACGGCTTGAATAATTTGATATCTGATGACTGTATTTTAAGTTTTGGATCATGCAGGACTTTTTATCAAGAATAACTTTTTTCCTAAAATCAATAATAAAAATGTTTTCCATATGGTTCCAACTTAAGTATATATAAATAAAGTTTTAATTAGTTTCAAATAACACTCCTAGTCCCAGACACTATTCCTCTTTTCAATACGTGATTCCTATTTAGTCCAATTTCGAGTTTTATATTAGTTTAAAATGTACATATATATTATCTTTATATGCTAAAACTAGATTAAATATTTTTTAGTAATTCAATAACTTTCTTTATATTTCACATTTGCGAAACCCCTTGTACACTAATATTCGCTGGGTGAAACCAACCTATGCTTGGAAGTCCCCTGTAGAGATGCCGTTTTACGATAGAAAGCAGATGACCACGGCACGGTTTTGATCATGAAAGATCTAACGCCCGACGGAGAGTGCAGCAACTGATATATATTCTTTAAACTGTGGCAATACAGGCACATTAGAACATAAACACATTTTAATTTATTTAAGAGCAAGCCAGGCCTTTCGTGAAAAGCAATATAAAATTTTGTTTATACCCCCACGCCACTTGGAATACTTCACGATGTTATGTGTCTCGAGAATATTAAGAGCTTTAAATTTGTGCAACGATAAGGCAGCACTCTATAGAGACATTTAAGAAAATAAGATTGGAAACCTTCCTATTTAAAAACTATTAGATATTTATTAAAACAAAAAGCAAATTTTCATATATTTAATACAGACTGACAAATGTTTTTTTTAATCCCTTTTAAAAATTATCATAATACTTTTTGAAGGTTTACAAAAAAAGAAAATCAAGGTTTCTCCACCCTAAGTTTTGTTATTATTGGTATTTTCTGAAAATTTCACAAAAAAATCAAACTAAAAATAAAAGCTCAGAAAAAATTTGAAATTTTCAAGGTTTTCGTTTTGCTCTTAATGCATGTGTTCTTTACAGTATCGACTTTCTAAAGAAGAGTTTTAAATAAAGGGCTCATTGGAATAATATGACAAGCCACAATGTTAATTTATTGAGGAAACACATATTCAAAGGTTAAAATAAACTTCTAAAACTTTGTTAAAATACAATAACTTGATTTATCGGCTAATAACGGTATTTGTTGAGAATTTACATTTGGTTTATGGCTTTTGTAAACTTATTTTTTATTATTTTGAAGTAAAAATGCCTATATTTTAAAAATTGTGGCTTATCAAGTTTTTACAATAAGCCCTTCAAAGTTTTTTGATTACACAATTTTGGTACATAACTGAACATTATGTACCAAATGCAACAAATTGACGTGTTTTTGTGTATTGCCGCTCACCAATGGTAATCCTAAATAATATGTACTGTGGACGCCCTGTCATATCAGGAGAAGAAGGGAGAAAATATAGAAATCTGACCACCTTAGTAGCCTTTTATAAGCAGAACATACTTGAAATCTATTCAATCAGCTGTTTCTTATTTTTAACTTAATTCTAATCTGTTTTTTAGACACCTTTAAATTTTAAAATAAAGTAAATATTTAGAGGGAAAGTAAAGCGATGACACTTCTATGCAATCACCTAATTTACCTTTATCCATTAACCTTCCTTTCTCCAGAGTTTTAAGTTCTTTTTCTATAAAATTTAGAGATTTGCATTTCAATTGATCTTTTATATTTTCAGGTTTTAACTGATCTATTGGGGATTTACACATTTCACTATCGTTTAAATGTTCCTTTCGCAATTCTTCATTGAATTCGCCTAAAGGATCCAAATGAATTAAAATTTGAGAAAATACGTTACAATTTATAAAAATATGGGTTAAAGTAACTGTGCCATAATTATACTAATTGGAAAACTTTTATATATTAAAAACAACTTGTATTTTCCTCAATTTCTTCTGATGAGTTGATTCCCTCCTTGACAGTTTCATTCAAAAACAAGCAAAACACTAATTGTTAAACCACATTTTGCCTTAAATCTCAGTAGCTTTATAACTATTAAACTGGTACAGACTATTATTATACAGTTGTCGAGGTAAAAGGTTTCAATGAAAAAAATAAGACAGGAATTTACAATTCAGTTGAACTTACCCATAGCAGGCGTTATTAGTTTCTGCATTTTATTTTCCATTGCAATGGCTGATGCCAAAGGAGTTTGAGGCATTATTAATTTAAATGTGTCTAATATTGGTTTAGGAATCAAATTAGTAGAAATAGGGTCAGATAATGGACATACATCAGAAATTTTCGTCTTCGATTTCGATTTTGTACTTGTAATCAGGGGCATTTCACATTTAAACTTTTCAGAAAACGTTCGTGGAACTAGGGCTAACAAAATAAAATTTTTAATAAATTATAATCTCAAATGTAAAAAAAATACTTATTTAGTCATAATTTAGTCAGACACATGAATCTAAAAAAAGATGGGGTTAAAATTACTAAGAGTGATGAGAATTTGAGAGGACAAAAAAATTATTAAGCCAAGGAAGTAAAAAAAATATATAGAAACCTAGAAAGATTTCTAAGGAAGCTATAAATGCGGTAAAAAGTGAAAATAGTAAACTGGGAGATAAGGCAGGCTTACATAGGACAAGAAAATTGGAAATTTCATCCTGCAAACAATATTCTAACATAATTTTACACTGAATACACTTCCTTGTCCCAGAAAAGATGCTTAGCTTTAGCCTACCACTTAAAGCTCAATTTTTGAGTAAACAATGAGCGACGAGAATTGATCAAAAACGGTTCGTGCCCAGGACTATCTTGCATCTCAAAAACAGAAACAAACATTGAAAATATATGCGTGTGGGCCCGAAAAAAACTTTCGGTTGAGTATTTGGGTCATTGCTGAATCTGTAAAAATTGAAAAAGATTCAGATTTTAAGAAAACAAAGTCATGGTCAAGAGGTTTTTGACCAAATATTTAGATCCTTGTATTAGAACATTCACCCTAATCACAATTTCACACCTCATGTCTTTTTTTTAGCATTAATCTAATTTTTCCTAGCCACATCTCATATGACATTATTAGCAAAAAAGTACAATGAGTTTTATATACAGTCAACAAACTTACTAGTTTTATCTTGGAGGATGTCTTGATTTTCTAAAACTGCACATATTGGAAGTTCATTTTTCAAATAATCTGTGACTTGAGGACGTATTTTACGGGGTTGTTCAAAATTGTCATGTAGTACTTTTGGAACATTAGCTTTTAAAGGTTTAACATTTTTATTATCAGTCGAGTGTGTATTCTTACTTTGTGCTACAAAAAGTAGTGTTGGGTATAATATATGTGTGCACATGTGCATCAACAAACCATATGAGTTACATTATTATATCTGTCATTTAGTCAATTCTTCATAAATGCAAATTTTATATTATTAGATTTGTATGTCTACTTACCAACAATAAGTTCTTCAGTTTTGCTTTCTTCCGATGGTGTAACAATAGCGGATTCTGCAAACTCGGGTGAAATATTTTCAGTCTTAATGTCAAATGGAATTTCTGGTTCTTCTTTTAGCTTAGGTGGACATACGCATAACTTTGGTGATGAAATTTCCAAGGGTAACAACTCTTCTTGTGGCTCACTTGGAGGAATAGCCTGCAAAGCAAAAAAATTTTTAAGTAATTAATTTTGTAACTGGGGGTAGCCAATTTTTTCATTTTTTTCATATTTCCATTTTTTTAAAAACTTTTTTAGTTCCACCTAGTGGAAATTACTTATTATAAACATAATGTTTTAAAATTCATTAACTATTAGTTTCGGCCATTCCCTACTGGAGGGCAGCACCTCTATAAATTAAAAATTATTTTTCAAATTTGAATCCTTCAAATCGTTAGAATTGCTTGATAATGAATAAAGAAAAACTGAATAGTAAATAAAAGTCTATGAAGCAAATAGCAGTGTTATCAACAGCTGCAGACTTTGAATATGAAGAACCAATAATTTGTATATGTCCTTTCTAAATGTATGAAGCGGACACGAATGAAGGGTAAGTTATAGACCTGTTGGCTCAGTTACTGGCGAGGATAATGGAGAAAACTTCAGAAGGATGCAAAATTGTTCAGTGAATCGAAAAGTACTAAGCAAAGGGAGAAACATTAGACCACATTAGCTCAGAATGATAAAAACAAATGACAAAGACAAGAGAGTGAGTGGAAAAATGTATGCAAAGTATTCTTTCATAAGTTGAGTCATTTTTCAAATATCGTTACCTTAACATTTAAACCTTCTGACTCCATACATAATAATTTTACAGGAGAAGTAAAAAACTGTTTCATGTAGATATAAGTAGATAAAAAATTAAAATTAGATCACTAGGTCTTTATTAAAGGATGACCTTAATTGGACCATGTTCTGCAACAACACCCACAATTTATTTACATTTTTATGTAAACCAGTCCATTACTAATAGGACATTCAGCGAAAATGCTATAAGCTGCATCTGGACAAGATATTTAATGTGCTTATTTTTAAATACATTAAATTTCTGTCAATTGCTTAGTAGTTTTATTAAATAATTCGTATTTTGCAACTCTAGCTAAAAATGTTGTTTATTGGAAAATAAGGACTTACTAATTGTTACCAACTTACAAAAAAAAATCAGTTGCTTAATTTTTATTCATATTACTCAATAATCAGTGGATTTATGTTATTAGTGTACGGCTCCTTTAGCTAGGAACAGGAACGTACTTTTTTAAAAGACAAAAAAAAAGAATGTAAGGAATAATTTTTCTCAGATTTTTGGATCGTCTTTCCAAATAAAGACAATAAAAATAAAGAATCAATTTTTGAAACACCCTATATAACGTTTCAAGCGTGGCAGCACTTCTGTCCTAAGGTTTACTGAATTTGAAACACCCTATGACATTTTAAGTGAGGCAGTACTTGCCCCAAGGCTTACCGAGTTTAAAACACCCTATATAACGTTTTAAGCATGGCAGCACTTCTTCAAGGCTTACTGAGAATCTTACTCCATACTCATTCTCTCTATCATCACATCACTCACGCTACATGTTAGTTGGTTTAAAAGTAGTCCTCTCTACTTCATCTAGTGGTCATGGTCACCCATTGACACTACTTAACTGTGATATCGCCAGAATAAAGTAATACAGGGTGGGTCATAGAGTAAGCTGTTGTGTAGGTTATTTTGGTCAGAATGTGAGGATTAGATCAAACATGCCTCAATAAAATGTTGCTGTGGAAAAAAGGCAGGGTTCGAAAGATATATATCATGATATATATCATGATATTTATACCTTGATATATATCCGATATATTCGATAATTTTATTTTTTTATTTAAAAATGTTTTCCACCATTCTGAACATCCGAAAATGTCTCAATACGCCCCTGCATAAAAGTATAATAACTAGCGATTTATATGTGTTAAAATATTAATGTTAAATAAAATAATGTTAAAATCTGTTTATTTTATTAATTATTTTGTTTTTTATTTTTAATTTGAGTTAGAATATAAGTTTTTGTTAATATGTTTGTGTTAAAATTTAAAATATAGTTTGTGCAAGAAACAATACTGTTTTTTAATTAAATAATTAAATTTTAAAATTGATATATATCATGTGATATGATATTTATATAAATATCACGATATTTTCGAACCCTGAAAAAAGGTAAAGGGTGGTAAAGTTGAAATACATTTTTCGTATTTTTGGTAATAATTTCACAATATTCATAAAACGTTATCAAAATTGGCACAGAGGAATAACTTTAGGCAAGGAATATTTAATTTATTATTTTACATTTTTATACAAGGTTTCACATGAGAGATTCCAGAGGATGAAATTGAGTCATATTTTTTACTGACTTACTTTTTAGTAATTTCGATTAGAAAATATGATATAAACATTTTTTTAATTTAAAATTGTGATATTTGTTTAAAGGTCAAAATTTCACCAGTTTTCACGAAAACCTTAATTGAACACTTTATATGTCACTAAGTGTTTTCAAATTGGAAACAATAGACAAACTTGTAACTCCAAATAATAAACAAAATACCTTAATAAAAATAAATTCAAAATAAATGTTTTACGTAGCATCCTTCTCCAATGGGTGTAAATGAATTTAATGAATTTAATGCTATTAACTATTTAGCACAAACCATTTTTTTTATGCAATAAATACTCTAAACAGGTAATAAATACTTTTAAATAAATAATTTAAAAAACTATTTTGCCGCTATTTACCGCGTCATAATGAAGTGCGGCCACTAAAGATTCTGTAACAACATACAGTTGATAATTTTCTTTTTCTAATAGTGACATTTATGATTAGTCATCTCTTTCTAAAATCGGATTAAAATTAGACGTTTTCTTTTGTCACGACACAAAAATTTCAAAATTTCTAACCTCAACATCGATTATGAGAAACATTGAATTACTTATAAAAAGTGTGATAAAATAAACATTTGTTTAATGTTTCATTATATTAAAAATATCTGGTTATATTTTCAAGTACTTGCTCCCTACTAGAAGTAAAAAAAACAGTCAATTTGATAAAATGTTTATAAAAGTTCCTGAAAATCTAGACATTCAAAAACGATAGGTTGTAAAACACAAACTACTATCCTGCTTTTATATTTATTTTGATGTAAGTAAAGATATTCTTGAATTGTTTTTGTTTCCAATTTGATATAAATTTATAAATTGTAGTTGATCAACTAGTAGGTCAATATGTAGCTTTATACATTTACATTACTGCATAATGTTATAAACTTTCTGTTTTCTGGGGGTAATTCTAGCTTTAATGGTAACTGAACATATGATAGTGCACTTCCTTGGTAGACCTACAGTAGAATAACTGAAGGGGCAAGTGGATGAAGGGGTTATGTTATAAAAAATAGTTAATGAGCAATTAACTATTTAATTAGATTCATTGGCACTTTTAGTGAAAAATGTCTTTAAAATGCGTTTTTGTGAGTTAGTAACAGTGATTATGAACTAATTAGACGCACAAGACCAGACCAAGGCAAGACACATATGAACTTAATTAAATCATCAACAAAAAAATAAAATTTGAAATGTTACATAACCCCTTCATCCACTTACCCCTTCAATTTTTTTTTTTAATAGATACCTATATCCAAAATAAAATGTCAACTATATTGAGTATAGTTAGTTATCTCACAGAGGATGTAAGTACAGAGGGAAAACTTGGTGTGGAGGGGGTAAGTACGCGCAACTACAACGCGCATCGCAATCGGCCATGTTCTAATTATAACTCAGCTGCGTTACATGTAGTAGAGCTTAACACTATTCATTTTTATGTGCGAACTGACAGTGGCAGCGTGTGTTCTCTTGACTTGTGTACTTGTAAAGTTTGTTATTATTATATTGTAAGTTTATTTGTTGTAACTCGATAAACAATGAGCAATATTAAAGGTGGATTGGTTTGTGCAGCAAGAAATTGTCCAAATAAGACGTACAACTGCAAGTTTAGCTTTTTCGGTTTTCCTAAGGACGAAAGAAGGTAAGTTGAGAAAAAAGTTTTAAGATTGCTTCGGTTAAAATGTAAAATGATCGGATATTATAAATTTTGATACTATCTATAGAATTTTTAATGTAGGTCCGTAAAATAATTTTTATTTTAAATAATACAACTTTGCCATAATATATCCGATTTTTATTTTTTTTCAATTTGTAGCCAATTGTTAGCTCTACAATTTGTATAAAAAAAAAAATATTTTTTAAGGCATAATACGTTCTGTTTAAAAAATCTAAAATATTTTTTATAAAAATTGTAAAGAACATATTTCTCTATAACACCCTTAAAATCGGGTAAAAGATTGGAATATTTAAAATAAAAATAAATTTTTTATATAAAACTGTACACAAATCTAGCTTTATTCTTAAAATATAATTATTTTATTTTGCCCATAGAAAGTTTATACCTACTGTTGCTATTTATTACTAAATGGGTTTTGTCCATATTATTATTTTCTTGGAAAACTCATTACTGAATTTAAAATCATCCTTTATTTGGAGACTATCAAAATCAAGTATTGGATATTAGAGTAGGTATAAAGAGACAAAAGATTTATTTTAACTGCCTGTAAATAATTTATTTCAAAAAGGCCAAGGTAATTTAGAAAGTTATAAGTAGATTCAATTGATTTTAATTCTAAATCAACTTTTCCTAATTTTTTTCATAGAACTAATAATAAACAACTTTGTGTATCTATATTCATTTTAGAATTGTAAAAAAGTATCAATTTCTTGCAATTTAATTAATATTTATTTTTTCTATTTTAGAGCAAATATGTGGCTAATGGCATGTGGTCGGGAGGATCTTCAGGGGAAAATGGATAAACCGTCTAGTTATAAGCTGTGTTCATTACATTTTGACCAGAAAATGTATCTTAATGATTTACAAAATCGGTTACTACCAACTGCTGTACCAACAATATTTCCGTCGCTGGCGTCTAGTTCTTCCAGCTCAAGCAATCGCACTTTCAACATTCCTTGTAAATGACATTTAACAATAACATGCACGTAATGAGATCTCACAACATACACGTGCTTTTTGATAAAAAAACTTAAATATCTTAGTTTAATTGAATTGCAATCAAATTTTTATCTACGTAAGACTTTATTTGGTTCATTTACATAAATTTGGTCAATTTAAAAACATAAAAACTTTTAGCACTAGCGAGATACATTTTGGATTAAAAAAATTATGCCTCTAAATGTCAGCAACACATTATACATTATACTAAATATTGTATTTGAACATTTTCTTAACTCTACCTATAAATATATCTGTTAGTAGTGAAAGTGATGAGATTATGAGCACTCCACCAGAGATTTTAGAAATAGCTCAAGCTGCCACACATAATTTGCTACCGCTAAAATCCAAAAAAAGGTACGAAATTACCCATCGAAAATTTATGGATTAGCGACACAAGCATATGTCCTTTATTTAATAGAAGAAAATAAGTGGGCGTAGAAAAAGTATAGTACGTTACACGAGTTGTAAGCCCATTACGCACTTGTAAAATTTACGCACTTCGTGCATAATGGGTTACTTACAACTCTTGTTACGTAATATACTATTATATTTTATTGTTTGTGTCTTTATGTATTCCAAATATTTGTATACTTACATGGACAGCTTAGTATATAAAATATCATTTATTAAAAATCTACACCAGAATATATTTATGACCGATGTAAATCTAAGTTCAGGTCATTTTTGTCCTGAATAACTGGATCTAGACAAAATATTTTTATGCTACTCAAAGTTCTATAAATTTGTTTATACAATTTTAAACTATCACAAGAATGGATTTTACTATACACGCGACTTTATTTCCAGAAATTATTTTTTAAATCCTGATATATCTTTTCATTACACCCTGTAAAACAACTCGTACCTGATTTTAGTTATAATTCAAATTAAAAAATTAAATTCAAAACACACCACATCCTTATCAAAATGAATTTCTTGAGTACGGATCTTCCCATTGGTAACATAATTATCAAAATGCGGGCCTGATTTCTATAATTCGAACATGGCCGCCGGTGACTTAGCGAGATCAATCGTGCCGACACCGAGTTTGTTCTCTGTACTTACATCCTCTGTGGTTATCTTAACAAGTGAGTTTGTATGATAAAAAAAATGTTTCTTTTTTAAACCCAAATCTCTTTGAATCCAGTAATTCTAGAAAAATTTGGAGCTTAGAAAGTATACATACTGTTTTTTCGGCTTTATGTTGTGAATTTCAGAGCCAATCAACTTTATTAATTAAATAAAATATCATTAATCCTGTTAGAATCCACCTTGGGTAAGTTGTCTAAAGATTCTTCTGTTAATCCTGTTTGTACTTTGGCCATTTTTAACTCAAAAAAATCTCGCAATCGAAAACGAGGTTAGGATTTAGATCGATGCAATGAGATAGAATAAAGAGATGATATGACGATGCTAAAGTACCCATACCTTTGCATTACACTTTTACATCAAACTCAAGATAGTCAGTTTTGGTGAACATAAATGCATTTTTTGTTAAATAGTTTCATTTAAATGATATAAAATCATTTTAATTCCGTCAGTCTTCAAATATAAAATTATTGACTTCAAAGAAATCAATGTACCACTCAAGTCGCCAGTTTCATTACACTTTTCCGTCACTCGAAGTCATCCCAAAATAGTGTTTGTCGTCTCTACTTTATTATATCTCGATGAATGGTTGAAACAACGTTGTCAGACTTAGAGAAAATATTTCGCGATATTGCGATAAGATTATGATTTGAATAACATTTATTAAGAAGAAAGTTTATTGAAATAGTAAGTCAATGCATCAAAAAACGGAATATAAAGAAATACAAGGTGCGCAAAATCAAGTACCCTATGGAATGTTGATATAGTTTCGTTTGTAGTTGATATCTGTTCGAGTTTTTCTGTCAGTTGCAAAGTAGATACTTGGGAAATTCATTATGAATCCATATACGCCTCGAGATCGTGCCGAAATCGTAAAATTTTTGTATCACAATAATTCGTCGATTATCCTAGCTCAATGAGAATACCGTAGAAAATATGGAACATTTCGGCGATTAGCGACAAATTTTCAACAAACTGGGTCTACATCTGATAAACCGCATATTGGCAGACCTCGTTCAAGGGATAATATAGACCGCGTACGTAGAGATGTGATGGAAAGGCCTAGCACATCAACAAGAAAACGATCTTCACAATTAAACAATACCCTACGTTCATTGCAACAATTTTGGTGAAAGATTTGCACTTGTTCCCCTACAAAATACAGGTAACCCATGAAACTCTGCCTTTAGACTTTGAAAAACGACGTCAATATTGTAATGCTATCGTAAACCTTGAAAACGAAATTGAGGATTTTTGAACAAAATCATAACGAGCGAACGAAGCTCATTTTTGTTATGGAGATCACTACAGAAGCATGCTGTTGGATTTTTTAATTCCAGAAATGGAAGAGCTTAATCAGGAAAATATTTGGTATCAACAAGATGGTGACACAGCACGCACGGCCCGTGAGACAATAGCCATTTTGAACAGAATTTTTCCTGGGCGCCTTATCTCGAAAAACGCCGATATTGCCTATCCGCCAAGGTCTCCCGATTTAACTGTTCCAGACTTTTGGTTATGGGGTTATCTCAAAGATAGGGTATTTGTAAATAATCCTTGAACACTAGAAGCATTAAAAGACAACATCCGGAAAAAAATTGACAGAATACCACCTGAAATGTTGGAGAAACTTATGAAAAATGCTTTAAAAAGAGCTCATTATTGCATTAATGCTGGGGGTGGCCATTTGGTCGATATGGTTTTTAGTGTGTAACAAAACAAATTTTTAGAGTTTAAATAAATATTTTTCATTTATAATATGACTGTTTTAATTAATCTTACTTTTATATAGAAAACAAATAGTAGACTTTATTTTGCGCTACCTTGTATTATGTTTTTATATTAAATTACACGATCTTAACCCTTAAATGATTGTTAGTTATCCAGAATTTCAATAATCCTTTATAAGAAATGGCAACAAAATCAGATTTTAGGCTTCATTATAACGATGTTTAAAGAACATTGAGGCGCGCGTTTCAAATTTGTTTGAAATGAGAAAAATAAAAAAATTAATTTTTAGATTACATTTTGTGCTAGCTTTAAAAAACTACATTTTTGAATTTCACTAAACACGCCCATTTGTTTTAATTAAAGAGTTTGACACATAAAAAAATATATATTATTTTCCCAGAATTCATTTCATTAAAAGAATTTCATTAGCAAAACCTAAGGACTACACATGTCTTCAAAATTAGAAACCCAGTGTTGTATTAAGGGTTGAAATGATTAAGTTTAAAAAGGTATAACAATTTTATATAAAAATGATTTTTATATCATGCTTTCTAATCAAAATTACTAACAAGTTTCGCAAAAAAAATATGACCATAGTGGTGCACCCTGTACAAAATGTAAAATAATATTCCTTGTCTAAAGTTATGCCTCATTTCTTGTCTAAAGTTATGCCTCTTTGAGAATTTTAACAACGATTTATAAATATATTGTAAAATTATTACCAAAAACAAAACAAAATAAATTTTCTTTCCACAGGAACATTTTATTAAGCCATGTTTGATCCAATCCTCACAATTTTATTCAAATAACCTGTGTAGACTCTATATTACCATAGTTATGACTCACCATGTATAAAGGAATATTGTAGAAAATAAACTATCATAAATAATCTTGCCATGCATGTATAAAAATGAAACAAACCTCTTCTTTGACGAATTCTTTTTCTTCTAAAACTGGTGCTTCATGAAGTACAATATCATTAACATCATCCTTCTCAACAAACGTATCCTTTACAATTTCATCTTGGCTGGCGAATTTGGCAATATCAAAGACTGCTTGTTCCTCTGATAAATCGTCCTTAACTGAAGAAGTGATCTCTTCCTGTGGAGATTCCAAAGGTTTGCACAGATCTTCAAACCTATCTTGAGCCTGCTGGATGAATTCTGGTCGGGTGAAGTCTTCTGAACCAGCAGACATTGGCTCTTCTGGCATTGGAGATTTAGATTCTTCTAAATCACAAACAGAAGGTATCGACTCGGGTCTCTCAAATGCTGAAAAATCAACGTGAAGTTGTTCAGATCTTGCAGAAACGGCGTCTTGTAGGCCTTCAAATGTTTCAGATTCTGTTTCAAAACCCGGATTTGAAGATTCGGTAGATTTAAGATTAAATACTGGTTTGGGTTCAGTAGGTAAATATTCAATATTGGCATCTGATTTGTCTAGTAGCGTTGAATCTTCAACACTGGGGTCTGACAATTTTTCAGGTACCAAATGTGAGATGTCAATGCTGGAGTCTCGAAACTGTTCAGAAGAAATATTTGAAATTTCAATGTTGGAGTCTGATAATTTTTCAGAAGATTCAGCATTGGAATCTAGTATTCTTTCAGAGGACACATTCGAAAGTCCAACATTAGAATCTGACAAGTTTTCAAATGGTTGTAGATCTACTGTGGGTAAAAGTTCTACTTCAGCAGGTATATTTTCTGGGCCAGTCCTCAATAGGTCGCTAACTTCAGAAGAATCAGATATAATATTAGTTATAAATTCTTGTGGTTTCTGAGGAAGATGGCAAAATTCTTCTAATAAATTTTCTTCAGAGTTTATTAACTCTTTTTCAGTTTCCAAAGGTGAAGCCAATTCTTTTTCTTCATCATCATAAGATGGTTTGTCTATATCTGTGGTTTTTAAGATATCATCATTGTTCTTTAAGTCCTCTAGTGGACAATGATCTGGTAAGTCTGATATAGTTTCATTGAAAGTAGTATCATTATCAGGTTCTTTTAAGAACTCATCTAGATCATCTGGTAGTTGTTGAACTTTATCCAAGTCAAACGGATTTGATTCGCCTTTATCAGCATAAATAGACATAGACATAGGGTCAGATTCTTTATTCAAAATATTCAAATCTTGGCTAGCCGATTCATTGAATGAAGTATCTACTGTCGCTAGGGATGATTCATCTCCAAATAGAGCCTTCGTAGACAAAGCTTCCGATTGGTCCAAAAGTTTGGGGGAAAATGGGGCAGCATTAGGACCGAAGTGAAATTCTTCGTTTTGGAAGACTTTTTTAGGGGTGCTGCCGGGCTGGAATTCGGGAATTTCGTCTATATTTTTGCCATTCAAGATGTTTTCTATCAAATCCATCGAAGTGTTGTGATCCTAAAACAAGACACAAATTAAATAAGTAGTAGTCAAAAATGATCTAATCATAAAATATTTTTTAAATTTAAAAATCTCATTATATGTCCAATTTTATTATTCTTGTGATGACTAATAATGTTTTTGAATAACTTTACTTAAATATTTCTGACAGTACTGTCCATCAATTTAGTGACATTAGGCATTCCAACGACCTGTCAAAATGTTGACAAGTGGGAACTGACGTTTAGATATGGCAACCTTGTGGCCTGCTGGATATAGTTGTATAGATTGCTAAAAGCGAGTCCTTTGCCAGCGGCCATATTACCTCTCAAGTGCTGATTAATCAGAATCAGTTTAGCAAAAATGTGTTTTAAAACCAATTTTCAGCTTTTGAATATAGTAAAAAAATAATTACCTACATTTTTACTTCAAGGCATAACCTTATGTTTATTTTGAAAAATATGGATGATCAATCTATATAACTATCTATTTCATTGACCCTGTCAAATCACTAGGCTTACAGGGTTGCCATAATGTTGCCATATTATAACCTGTCAAAACCCACTGGTAGCCAATTTGTTTGGAATGCCTAATTGAAATGTACAGAGAATTTGATAATTTTATTAAGCAAATGTAACATTTGCAGTATATAAGATTTTGGAAAAGATTAAAAAATAAGAAATCAATAAATCCATAATTAAATGAATTTGTATCGGTTGATTTATTTTTGTAAGTTTCAATGTATTTTTTAAACTATTCCCGATTTCTAATTACAAATTTCAAAATTGCCTAATAAAATTAGCCAATTCTATTTATATCCTACATACATATTTAAAAAAATAAGTCATATATTTTCTTGATTATTGATGAAATAAAAGTTAAATAGTAAATAGTTATATTTCCTAAAATTAAACATTTTTTTAACATAGCTAACTAAATACCGTAAATTTAAATAAAACAGGAATATAAGTAAAAATGAAAAATTTCACAAATATTCATTTTACTAAAATGCTCAGAAACAAATTTCGGATCTAAAAAACAAAAGTGATTACTACATTACCATAGTATAAAATCTAAAAAAACAAAAAAAAACTAGGATATAATTCACTAAAATGTAAAAGCAGTTAATGCCTACAGTGTTTTAAAAAGAAATAATTTTGCGCCAAACAGTATCTAATCAGTGGTTATATTTAGTGAACTTTATGATCATGTTGACACAAAACAACTGATAAATTAATGAATAAATTTTCATAGAAGTTTAAATAAACAGTATTCATTTTGCTAACATGTCGGCAAAGACAAAAGAAAAAATATTTTCAAAAAATAGTGAACTGGAGCAATTTCAATGTCTGTCTGTTGCACAGAAAACCTAATTATATTACAATCAAAATGACGAATCGCCAAATAGATTCAATTTAAAATTTCAAAAAATGTGAGGCTTGAATCAAACAAAATATATAAAAAATGTGTTATTAGAAAACCAAAAAAATATTTACTTTCTATTTAACTGTAATACTTATAAAAAGCGCAATAATGGTTACTAATTTTTTCACACCTAATGCCAATTTTATTTGATCACTTTAATAAATTGTGCCATATATACAGGGTGGCCCATTAGTTCGGAACTAGTGGGTGGAAGTCCTATGATTCTTTTAGCTCTATTATTTTTAATTCATCAATTAAAATAAAATGTTAGAAACTATCACTTTTAAGACCTATATTATAATAACAAATAGTGAGCTATACTGAGTATTCAATTTGAAAAAACAAGTTTTAGATATTTATTATAATTAGCAAGTTGGTGTTTCTGTAAAAAATAAACTTTCGATGCTCTCAGACTTTTCAGTTAACCCTTATCTTTCTAATTACCAAATATTTTAACTTAACTGTCAATAACAAAGCCTTTTTTTAATAATTTGTTATGGAAAATTTTTCACCATTTTTTTTTTACTTTTTTGTCATGACATTAAAAAAAATAGTATTGGAATGTTAAAGTTTACAATGAAATCAATGGTGAAAAAATATACTGGACGAGTCATTTAAAAACGTCATCTGTATATTTCAACAGTATTTTAGAAATATGCGAAAAAGTAAACCCAATAACTTTTATCTAAAACATTTTCTCATATTTCTTAATGATAAAAGAAATACTGGACTTCCTTACACTAATGGGCCACCCTGTATATTTTTTGACTTTGGTCACACTTGAGCTGATAGATTTCTCTAATTATTGATGTTTCATAAAAATAAAGAAAAATGTTAAAAACTAAAGGACCGTATAATAGAAACGTTGAGTGACTGTTTCCCTGCTAAAAACAACTACTCCTTTAGCTAATACCGCAACAGGAATTGAATTATATCAAAAGAAAAACAGCAGAGATGGAAAATTATTTTCAATACTCTGATATTGCTTACTAAGGAGGTCATTTTTGAACCGGTTTTGTCCTTATTAGGGCTCATCAATAAGGAATGGACATTCTCGATTCCAATCTCAAATGGAATCTGCAGATGCATTGCATTAAATCTCATGGCCAGTGGTTATGCAAAGAAAGAAATTGTAAAGTAACACCATTTACACTTACTAAGCAAAATCAAAGCTTGCTATGGTACACAGTTCACAGAACAAGACAGAATAATTACCAGACTTGCAATTTCGATAAATTTTCATGTTAAGATGTTGAACTATTTTACCTTTAATTTGCTATGACTGTGGGAAAATACAAAATAAATACCACTTTGACTTTAATCTTAAAAGAACCAAAAAACATTTTTTTGATTCGTTTATCATATTTGAAATGAACAAATTAATAACAAATTCGCATAATCTTCATTGGTAAACTCTAATAGTGAGTGATCCACAAAAAAAAACAAATTCTGAAACATGTCTTAGAAAAATTCAGGTATGTCAGAGATTACAATTCTCCTCTTCTCTTTCAAATTACAGTTTATATTTGAATAAATTACATTTAGAATTATTGTATAGATTAATCACTGAAACGTTTTCACATTTTTAAATAATTAAAGGTACACTTAACAACTTCAATTGAAAATTTAAATTCAAATATATCTGACTTATCTATTTTTTTAATAAAAAACTTTTAGACATTTTAAAAGCTACGAAACAAATTAGGACGCGCCTTTTTTTAGTGACTTATTGTTTAATTCAGTTAACTTTAGAGTACGCGAAATTGATGTGTGACTAGGGGTATTTCCAAAACTATACTCATACTTTTTTGGAGTATTCAGAGATCAGTCATTCTGCCACATTTCTTGTCGGGTATGCCGCAAATATTATAGTGAAATAAATATTAATTTAACAATACTGTTGTAAGATATTGTATTTCCTTATCACTGAACACACTATGACAGAAAACCCTACACCTAAACTTAAAAATAAGTAAATTAACTTACATCATCTTCTTTGTGACCATTGTTACAAGAGTCAACTTCGCTAGGCCTAGATTTTACTTCTCTTTCGAAATCTTTGGGATTGGGAAGACTGATATCGATATCATTGGCCTTTTTCGGCGACTGGGATACTATTGGATCGTTGATTAACATTCTGCAGGCTGGAGACGGTATACTTCTTGTTGGAGAGACGGGAACAAATTCTGCAGCATTAGGGTTCAGCTGTGACATGGTGTCGTCCTCTTCAGGAATGTCGGCAACCTAAATAAACCAAAAGAATGTTTTAGAATTACAAATTGTATAGAAACAGCAAAGTTAGTACATAATTTTTTAAATAATGGAAGAACTAAAACCATGTTGAGGTAGGCTAGTTAGAAATTATTAATTTGCGGAGTTTAGCACAATGTCAACAGCTGTCTAGTAGGTCTTTTATTGACAATTTTGTCAAAGCATTTTAATTGTCAGAGATCTGAAAATTAGCGATACGCCACCGTCAGTTAAAAAACAAATCTAATCATTTATACATTTTAGCTTGACTAAGTGCATTTCTGTAACATTTTCAAACAAACAGTGGCAAGTTTTCCGACATATTTTAAGAATTTAAATTGTGTTAAAAAAAATATAGTAAAATGGCAAAAAAAAACAATACCAATCTTATTTTTTATCAATTTCCTGATGCTGAATATACAGTCGGTGTAACCCAAATGTGAACGCGATTTGGTGTCATAGGATTTTTTACTGAAATTCATTCCTCCCTAGGTCTAATTTTGGCCGGTGGTGTTACAAAGAGGGAGGAGAACATTTAGAACAATAGTATATTGCATATATGCAAAGCACTGAGGTAAGCCATGGACACGAGACTAGAATGGTTCCCTGAGGTATGTATACGATTTTACAATCTGCTATTAGCTTTTCGCATTTCTTGAAAACCCAAGCCTTACTGACAGAGGAAGAAAATAAAGAAAAAAAGCTCTGAAAATACTTACAAAAAAGTGTAAGACATTAGTAACGCCAAGTAAAAAGATTTACCAAAACTTTGCAAATCAGGTGCTACTACACCTGATGAATTTCACCATTATTATCACAATCTACCTGTAATGTTAAAGGCACAGTTTCTGCACCTTCCACAAAAGCTAGTGACACAGACGTTGAATATTATGAGCTGCACAGTGCACATTGATTCTTGTGTGCGAACTCGACACGATACGTATCGAATAGAGAGACATTAAATAAGAATTGCAGTCTGTCGAAGATAGGCATCTCGATAAATGCCGTATCGAAAGATGAGAATCTCACTGTTGTATGTAGACAGCTAAATTAAGCTAAGTGACGTTTTTTTTGTTTTTTTTTTTTTTGTTTCCAATCAGTATATTCTTAGACTATATTTTGTAAAGATTAATTATGTTTTGAATACCTTTTTTTTCATTGGAGATATTGTTTATTAAACAGATTGAAGCTATGATTTTTTAATCAACCTTAAACGTTTGAACAGCGTTTTCTCGAAACTCTAAAAATGTGAGTTATCTTGTTTTTGCAGTAACCCGACGGGATATATTTATATTTTGTTATTTTTTCTTTTCTAACTAATTTTAAATGGATGGTCTAAATAAAGGGTCATCATCCAAAAATATTGTGACCCGTGTAATATAGCAAACATATGTATGTGGCCCGAAGGAGAAAACGGTTGAGAAGGCAGGTTTAGAGATAAGTTGTTTAAGTTCGCACGGCATCACCAGCACTACTGTATTTATGCGAAATGCTATCGTACATTCCTATGCAATTTTTTAGACAAGGAAAAGAGAAGAAAAATAGTCTGAAAAGGGGAGATATTTCAAATATTTAAATTTGAGAATTTCCTGTTAAAATTATTGACGTTCCTTTTAATATTTACGAGTATTTACGTGTATAATATAGTATAATTTAAAAATAAATGGTTCTAGGATTTTCCTCAAATATTAGCATATTTGTAATATTAATCCAATCTTAAAAAATGTAGCTTTTTATCATGTTACATAGACCCTCCAGAATGGTATTTATAATAAACTCATTATTTAAGCTGATAATTTTATTTCAAGGAATAGCAAGTGCATAATAGAGTTATTTTAATTTAAAAAACAATAACAATAACTTATTAAATCGACAAGCTTACCTCTTTTTCTGGCTGCGGCGATATATTTTCTTTATTTGCTTCCTCTCCTTTGATGTAGTTCCACTCGTCCTCGTCAGATTCGCTATCCACTAGCCCACTAACATCATGAACTGCAACAAAAATAAAATATTCAAACATTCTGAGAATGAATTTATTAACTAATCTACAAAAATAGGCCAAAACTTACTAACCCCCTGTTTATTATTTTGATAATAAGTACTTATTTCAAACAGTATAAACGAATAAAATACTTGCGAGTAGAAGAGTTCAGATAAGGGTAAAAAATTCCATTAATTATTGTCTTCAAAAGAACACCAATAGCAATTTAATCATATCTCCAGTCTAGTCTAGTGTTTTGGTAATTTTTCAATATACGGGACAAAACGGAATCATTAAATCCTCTGGTCAAAAAATCCAACCTCACACACAATTATTAAATCATGAAGATTATTCAATTTTAAGTTGTGCTATAGTTATTGAATCTCAAAAACCTGTATATACAGTACAGGAATACTAAAACATTTACACTCATATGCTTATAAAAACAAATGGCCGCTCCAATTTTATCATACTTTATTATTTATTTAATTCTACTACGGAAAAAACTTATTTAGTCAACAAAAATTAGTATTGGAATTATTAAAACCAAAGTAGTCCATTATTAAATTATAGGTTTAAACATAATTAATTTACGGTTTTAAATTAATAAAACGAATCTCGACACACCGTTGTTGAGAATTTAGTAGAGCATAATAAATGTCTACCATCAATTTCACTGTAAACGGAAAATTCTACATTCTTGACATTGTCAGCAATCAAACTATTTGGAATATATTTTCGAGTTTGAATTCTATAATTTAAATGTTGTTCGTCATTTATTAAAAAAAGGAATGAGATAAGAGAGTAGGTACCTGTGTTAACGTTAATAATTATTTCTATCTTAAAAAACGAATATTATGTTATTAGAACAATTTGAAAAATAGTTTATTATTTAATATTTATTTATAACGTACTAATTTATTTAAAACTTAGACACTATTATAACTCACAATTCTAATTTATTTATTACAAATTTATCTTTACTATTCAACATTTATATTAAATATTAACGTCTAAAGACAAAGTCGCGCCATTTATACAAAAATAAAACATTTGATTCGGTTTTTCGAGTCTCGAGGCGAGTCTCGATATGGTAGTAAACAAATAACAGAATCGGCTTCAGGCGATAAAAAAAGGGGAAAATTAAGATTTCCGCAGGCAGTCCTAAGATTCCTAAATCCCTTGATCTTATCTGCATGTACTCTGTTTTAAATAAATGTAATTAAACCAGAATAAATGAATTTTTTGGCCGAAAAATATTTTAAGTTTTAAGAAAGAAAAACTTAGGTGTGTCTGAATAAGAACACTTTCTAGGTCGATTTGCCACTCTATTTTATGAGTCAGCCAAATTATGTGGTATTTAAATTATTGCTAGATATTTTTCAAAAAAATAATTGTGAAAACTCTGCCCACAATTGCTTGTAGTGGGGTTGTTGTAAGCAAAGTGGGGACACTGCCCTAGCTTATTATTTCTGTAAACATAAAATCGCATTGTAATATAAAATTCAAAAAAGTTCAATTCTTGATAATAAAAAAGATACAGGGTGAGTTACCAAATAACTTAAACGGTGATTCCAATCTCAATTTTCTCTAAACTGGATTCATGGACATGTTAGATAATTTTCCATTAATCGTGAGACACAACATGTGGTTTATACAGGATGGTGCTCCACTCCATTACAGTAGAACAGTACGAATTTACCCTGATATTGAATTTTCACATTGGATCGGCCCAGGTAGCCAATACGCTTAGTCAGCACGTTGTCCAGACCATAACTCTATGGATTTTTTCTTTTGGAAGTTTCTTAAATCAATGGTTTATAACGAATCAATAAATTCTTGTACCGAACTTTGGCGAAAAATAGTAAATGCTGCAGATGTATCCATCGGCAAATATGTAGATATTATCATAAAAAATATGGAGTAGTTTATATTTTGATATTTAAAATATTGAAATAGCTATCAAATTAGATTCGCCCAAAGCAATAAACTATAATTGGTTGTATATTATACAATTTGACATAACAATAAAATATGTATGATGTAAAACTAACCTGATGAAGGTCTTATGATTTAACCATTACCAATATTTATTATATGAATTATAAATCTAATAAAACTAATCACAGGAAGACACGGATGAAAAGGTAAGTACAATAAAACACTTCCTTTTTTTAGCAGTTTTTTCTTTACTTATTTCTCACAACAGACGATATGGCACATGGTCTTTTTTTCGAAAGAATATATACTTAAAATAACAATGGATCACGTATTTAATAAAACGCGTAACTCATTCACTGAAATATTTTTACAAAGAGTTCAGAATATATTCACTAATTATTTAATAAATTAAAAAGGATGATCTGACAAAAAAATATAAAAGCTAATAGTAGTCCAAATTAATCAAAAATTATCGCCAAAAAATTAAACAAAAATGTAAGTATTTTCCTTTTATAACAAAATTAAAATTTTAAAACAAGATTACAATAATGCAATTTGTCACTGTTATTCGTATTTAATATATACCGTACGACATGCACCTGATGATAAACATTGTAAATAAGCACCTTGTTTTACAAGCGCTAATAATGTTAATACTAATGTACAGATAAGAACATCTCTTTACCCTAAGACCAATGTCACCATATCAGTTAACAACTCGTTTCTTGTTGTATTATTATAAGGAATCATTTAATTCGCTATCGGCTTTTTGAATTAGTTTTTGAGACAGAGTGTTATAATTATTTTGGCTAAATTTCTGAAGAATTATAAGAATAATAATATCAAGAGAATATTAAAATTCAATTTGTTGCGGATTGATACTTATATTTAAATTCTAAGCGAATTTTTTAAGTCTCTTATGTCGGTGAATGGATAGATATGGCTCATTAAGTAGTAGAATATTTAGAATATACGTTATCCACCTAAACGGGTCAGATTAGATCTATAATATTTTGTCCCTATTAATAAAAATGACATCGTACTATATTACGCTTACAATATTCGTTTGATAGTTTTAACATTTTCATATTTGCATTTATAATCAAATAAATTATGTAAAATTTATTTCGAACACTGTGCTCTATTCGAAACAATAACACTAATTAAAAAAGTGTCATCACCATATCAAAGAACCGATAAATTATAGACAATTAATTCCTCCCCACGACACTCATCACGTAACTAAACCAAGATAATAACATTTATGAGGTACAATAAAGTACCCTCCTACTATTCAAAGAACAATATCACAGACAATCTGCATACCGCATTCCCAATTGCCGTTTTATGCCTATCCTCGAAGACAAAAGCCAATCCTGACAAGTCAATTTCACCACCGCACCGCACAAAATCAACTGAGTCTGCTCTATTGCATCTCTTCTCATTTAATTGTTAGTCAGAGCCGGAGTTTAAGAAAATCCTTTGCGGAAATTTATGTAAATGAAGTATTTTTTTTTTAACATTTACAAACTGTAGTAAAGAATCGCAAGTTAAATTTAAAACAGCCACTATTATACAGGGTGTTTCATAAAGACCTGACTACCTCTGTAGGGCTGGCTAATAGTACGCTGTCTCAAAACACATAATAAGACACACCCATTTGCAGCGGGTTGATAGTTACCACTTTTTTAACTATATCTCAAAAATTTACAAATCAATTTAAACCAAATTTTGAGAGTATTAAATTACATACGTCGACTTTTCAACCTGTCTGTCTGTAAATAGCGAAGGCTTAATTATTTCCTTTTTTTTTAATTTGTGTATTTTTTGAAAAACAATTAGCTACTCTTAGTAAATGTCCAAAAAACGAAAGTTTGGTCACTTCCGTTTGCTTTTCTCTAAAGTAAGTCAAATTTGAGAAAAATTTATTAAACGAAATAAATCTACAAAAAATATTCAAAAATATTGTCTATTTTGACGAATACACAAGTTTATTCTTTTTCTTAGTGAAAACATTCTTTAAAGTGGTTTCGAGTTATTTTGTAGTTCATTTATATGCCCCCCCCCCCCCCCCCCCCCCCCCCCCCCCGGAGGTACCCCCTTTCAAACAAAAAAGACATTATAAAAATCCGACAACGCGGTAAAGAATTAACGCTGAACATAAAAAAATATTCTGACAAATTGCGTGTGGAAAATGTTCACTCAACCAATGTCTTCCTAAATTCAAAGGAATATCTACTATTATTTCATAAAGTCTATTAGGTAGAAAATTGTAATACATTCGTCATTTAGATTTTGTTGAAAAATATGGTACCTATCCAATGAAATTGTTTCCTATTGTTGCAGCTCAAACATTTATTTTAAACGAATACCGGTAATAATTTATTCCATTAGCTTTTGAATTTTCTTCTGTCCACAAATGTACATTGTGAGAGTTTTTATTTATCGGCACAGCGAGAAACGTAACTAATATATTTTGTTCAAATTCAAATTGGTAACATGATGGTTCGTTATGTGGAACCACCCTGGAGTCGATTATTTTAAATACGGACCTATAGTTTTTATTCTAATTGTTTTACTACTTTTTCTCCTGAATACAACCATATGTAACCTATAAAACAATTTACTAGTTTTGAATACGGGTATAGTAGAAATAGTATGGCGTCTTTACAAAGTGACGTCCTGAGTCAAGAGATGTTGTAGTTGTTACAATATTTGTAATTAATAATTTAAGATTAAACGACTTACCTGTAAGGAAGTTCAATCGTAATTATACGACTGGTCCAGTCCTGATAGAGTACACATGTAGTTGCTTCATTTTATGCAAGCGTACACTCTTTTTAAAGAAAACAAAACAATTTTCTGTCCCATCACATCACCCATACTTCATTGCGCGTTTTAGTAATCGCGACCTTTCGGGTTGGGTAATGTACAAAAGTAAGCCCTTACTTTAAAGGGAGGGATGTTCTATCAGGACTGGACCAGTCGTATAATTACGATTGAACTTCCTTACAGGTAAGTCGTTTAATCTTAAATTATACTTCCTGGTCCTGCCCTGATAGAGTACACA